CCCCAGCTGGAGCGTTAGCCATCCCCACACGCTAAGCATTGCCCCACCCCCCACGTGCAGACGACCAGGTTTGTTTTGTGCCCAGCACAGGCCCTCGGTGATGGGTAGTGTCACTTTCCAAGAGGCTCCCCAAAACTAGGCTCAGGCCTCTTTTGTGGCAACGCCATCCTCGCCCTCAGCTAATGGTGCTGAGAGGGGAAGAAAGGCCTCAGTGCACCGACTGGGGACAGAGCTGGGTGTGCACACCCGGCCGGGGTCAGAGCAAGGGTGCCAGGGGCCAGAGGAGGTGAGGCCTTTGAGGCTTGTGAGCGGCAGGAAGGAGCCGGTTCCAAGGCGAGGATGGGAAAAGCAGGGATGGTGGCAGTCCCCACAGGGCCATTTACAGCCACAGGTCGTAGGTCAAGAGTCCTGTCCCTAGAGGCTCTGGGTCGGCAAGGTGGGAAAGCCATCAGGGTGGCCGGAGGGAGCCGGGTGGGGGCCGGGCCTGAGGTCTAGTGGGCACTGCAGGGCGGGGCTGGAGTGAGAAGCTTTCTAGGCCACAGAGGCACAGACCTTCCCCCTCAAAAGCCATTAATGTGTACAGTCACACACAGAAAGACATACAGTAAACACACAGACACACCCCAAAGTACCTCATACTCAGCAACGGCAGCTGCAAATATGTATATACACCATCACACACACAGACACAAATTCAAAAGGCACAAATGTGCTGCACCATTAACCCCTCAGACACACACAAAAGCCACAAATGTGTACACGGTCACACATACAGAGGACACACATGCACTCAGACACATAAACATGCTCACAGACACACACACAGATACCCCCAAAGTTATTCATACTCAGCAGTCACAGCTGTAAATGTGTCTACACCATCAGCCTCCCCCACACACTCAGACACACACAGCAGCCCCAGCAGCACATCCACCCTGGCATCTGGCTCTCGGTCACCCGCCTGCCCTGCTGTCTCATGTCCTTGGCCCCGGGCTGCCCTAATCCCGGTCTCGTGTCCTGAAGCCAGAAGATAAGGGGCAGCTGCAGCCCCAGATAAAGAAGGCGCAGCCACAAATCCGGGGCAGCCGCAGGAGAGGTGGGCACCAAGCCCAGCCGCACCTGCCTCGCTGCTGGCAACCCCATCCGGCCTGGCAGAAAGGGACAGGATGGACTACAGGGCAAGGGGGAGACAGAGGAGAGGGGTGGGGGGAGAGGGAAGAGACAGAGAGATGCAGAGAGAGACCCACAGAAAAATAACGAAATGTGAAGAGAGATGAGACAAACATGGAGGGAAAGAGAAATGCAGAGAAAGGAAGAAAAGAGACTGAGGGACACACAACGAAATACCAAAAGAGGATCAAAAAAATTGGGACAGTAACAGGAGGAATAATAGAGGTAGGCAGAGAGAGCGCTAGGGACTTGAGAGGAGTGCCCGTTGCCTTGCCCTGGCCCCGCACTAACCCCTCCTGGGTGCCTCATTCTCCCCGCGCCCCCCGCCCCCCGCCCCCCGCCCCCGCCTCCTGCTTGCTTTGGAGAATGACCCAAGCCTGGTTCACCTTCCTCAATGTCCCCACACTCTCCAGGGTGACACCTGGGAAGGCCTCAGCCCCCTGCCACAACCTCAGTGAAGGTGGGACCCCTAGAGCAGGTCCTACCCCGTGTCTGTTTCCCAGCCATGGTAAGATGTATTCACCCAGGAAGTGCTAATTGAGCACCTGCCGTGAGCCAGGCCCTGTGTTGGGTGCCAGGGTCACAGAGTGGCCGAGGTAGACCCAACTTCCTTACTCTCTCGGCTCACAGTCCAGTAGGGAAGTGGCCAGGTAGCCTCCAGAGTAATCAGAACGGTGATGGGGGACACTCAGGCAGCTGCAGAGCCTGTAAGCCTGTAAGGGATGCTGCGCCCTAGCAGGAGGGGGCCATCAGAGAGGCTTCCAGAGGAAAAAGAGGTGAGAAAACCCTATATAATAATATGCTAAGTGTCTGGTCAACCGGTCGACCATTGAACCAATCAAAGCTGATATGCTAAGGCCGCTCAACTGCTCGCTATGATGCGCACTGACCACCAGGGGGCAGACACTCCGACCGGTAGGTTAGCTTGCTGCTGGAGTGCACTGACCACCAGGGGGCAGACACTCTGACCGGTAGGTTAGCTTGCTGCTGGAATCCAGCTGATCAGGACTGAGCAAGACGGGCTAGACACCCCCTGGAGCCCTCCTGCGGTCGGTTCCCGGCTGGCCAACCTCCCACGACTCTCCCCTGGCCCTGATGGTGCACCAGTGGGGTCCCTCGGCCTGGCTTGTGCCCTCTCGCAATCTGGGACCCCTTGGGGGATGTTGGAGAGCTGGTTTTGACCTGATCCCACAGAGGGAGTGCCACTCAGCCAAAAGCCGGGCTCAAGGCTGGCAAGCGCAGCAACAGTGGTGGGAGCCTCTCCCACCTCCACGGCAGTGCTAAGAATGTCTGACTGCTGGCTTTGGCCCACTCCCCCTGGGAACAGGCCTACACCATCAGTTGGACATCCCCCGAGGTCTCCTGGACTGTGAGAGGGCGCAGGCCAGGCTGAGGCCCCCCCACCTACTGAGTGCACGAATTTTGTGCACCGGGCCTCTAGTGTGAGTATAATGAGCAAGGTGTCTAGGAGCAGGGAATGGACTTCCTGGAAGAGCATATACAAAGACTAGGAGGTAAGACTGGCTCATGGGAAGTCTGAAATGAACTTGGTGCTTGAGTTTAGGGAGTGAGGTCATAAGGGATGAAGCTGGGGAAGGCAGCAGAGGCTGGGTCATGTAGGAACTTGGGGGCCATGGTCAGATATGTTTTAGAAAGTGCTGTGGGTTCTGGCCAGGTAGCTCAGTTGGTTAGAGCATTGTCCCAATATGCCAAGGTTGAGGGTTCGATCTCTGGTCAGGGCACATATAAGAAGCAACCAATGGCCCAACCGTTGTGGCTCAGTGGTTGAGCATCAACCTATGGACCAGGAGGTCACGGGTTCGATTCCCGGTCAGGGCACATGCCCGGGTTGTGGGCTCTATCACTAGTGCAAGAGGCAGCCGATCAGTGATTCGCTCTCATCATTGATGTTTCTCTCTCTCTCTCTCTCTCTCCCCCTCTCCCATCTCTGAAAGCAAAAAGAAAACATTAAAAAGAAAAAAAAGCAACCAATGAATGCATAAATAAGTGGAACAACAAATTGATGTTTCTCTCTATATATATATATCTAAAATCAATGAAGAAAAAGAAAAAGAAAGAGCTGTGGGAGGATAGGCTGTTGGGGCAGGATGAGAAGACATTGAGGCCTGGAATGGGAGAGGAGACGGACTGGAGGGACACTGGAGGAAAAGCTGGCAGGAAGCTGTGGGCGGAGAGAGGCAGGAGGGGAGGCTCAGGACAGTGCGGCAGTCCCCGAGCCAGGGACCACTGCAGCCTGTGAGTTCAGGTAGAGTCAGAATAAATTCCAGTCACTTCCACTCACAGTCAGAGAGAATAAGGGAGTTAATGCATGAAAAGGGCACACAGTAAATGCTCAGTAATGGTTTAGCTGCTGGTTAAAAAAAGTAATGTTATATTGTTAAACAGTATAAGTAATAATGGGTAATTAATATTATGTCATTAATATTAATGTCATGGTTATCAATGGCCAGTCCACAGCCCCCCTCCTACAGGAAACCTTCCTGACCCCACACAGAGTGGCCAGAGCACCTTAGGGCAGAGCCATGGAACCCTGGGAAAGCTCTCCTTGGAGGCCATATTCCTGCGGTCCTGCGCTATGGGTCTGTCTGTCTCCCCAGACTGGTCATGGGTGCCTGTGGGAGGAAAGGGGGAGACGACTGGTAGAACCTCAGGCCCCTTGGGAAGGAATGAGCTCCCTCCCTGGAGGTGGGCAAGAGATCTCCCAAGGACTGCGGAAGTTCCTTCCAGTTTTAGATTCCCCGACTCGTTTTATTCCGATTGTCCTACAGAGGGCAGCCGAGGCCAGTGATGGAAGACAAACTGCTCCCCTGCCCACTTCCATTTTCTCCCAGTTCTTGCAAAGCTAGTTCGGAGCCTGTTGTGGCGTCAGGCAAATCCTTTTTCAGTGAACCTAGGACCTAGGTCCCCATCTTCTCCATTTGTTGGGCAGGGTGCACACTCCCTGCGTCACGTCCCTCCCAGGGAAAGCTTTGTCGAGTTTTGCAACGAAATGCAAGGGAATCGAAGGGATTGGTCGTTCCCACCCGGCACTGGGTTCACATAATTCAGGGCAAATAACAGAAATAAAGAAATAAGAACAGTAGTCATTAACATTTATTGACTGTTATTTATTAAATTCTTGCCTTCTAAAAGAGATGTTTTTATCAGCCCCATTTTTCTGATGAGGAGATGGAGGCACAGAGAAATTAAACAACGAAGTCCCCAGCTGGTAAGTGGAAGGGCTGGGATTCGACCCTCGCAGGCAGGGTCCAGAGAGCCCAGCACCAAACCTCCGCCAGAAACAGGGCGCTTTAGGCGGGCACAACAGGGCACGGGTGGGGCGGGGGGGGGGAGGCTGTCACAAACAGTGGCTGATTCTGCCTCCCTGCTGACAGCCCTTCCACTTCTCTCGGGATAAAAGCCAAGTCCTCCCAGGAGGCCGCGAGGCCCGGCACGACCCCTCCCTGCCCTCCCTCCTCCCCGTCGCCACCTCGCTCACTCAGGTCCAGCCACATGGGGCTTGCCGTTTCTCCAACACCCCAGGCGGGGTCCGACCTCAGGGCTTTGCACTGGCTGTTCCCTCCACCTGAAACACTTTTTTAAAAACCCGGCAAGAGCCGAAACCGGTTTGGCTCAGTGGATAGAGCGTCGGCCTGCAGACTGAAAGGTCCCAGGTTCGATTCCGGTCAAGGGCATGTACCTGGGTTGCGGGCACATCCCCAGTAGGAGATGTGCAGGAGGCAGCTGATCGATGTTTCTCTCTCATCGATGTTTCTAACTCTCTCTCTCCCTTCCTCTCTGTAAAAAATCAATAAAATATATTAAAAAAAAAAAAAAACCCGGCAAGAACACAAAACACTTCTGCGGCCAGATTGCTGTCCGCGGGAGGGCAGCTTGCGAGCCCCTCGAGGACACCGAACATTTCCCACGTGCTACCAGAGGCCCCACCCCCACGCACGCCCCGCCCCGCCCCCGATACGTCGACGTGCGTACAATGGCGTCTCTTGGAACGACCCGGGCATGCGCACTTCCCAGCACGAGCGGCCCGGACACACGCGCGACCCGGAAGGCCTCGCTACACTCCAAAGAGAGAAGGGGGCGGATGGCGGAGGGTGCGGCGGAGGCCCCAGCAGAGAGTGGTGGCGGTGGCGACTTAGGAACCGGCGCGCTGGAACGAGGAGTGGCGCCCATTAAATCTCGGTGAGTTGCCGGGACTGAGAGAAAACCTCACGGGGCCTTCCGGGACCCGTAGGGCGGCTCGAGTGGTGCATGCCGGGAGAGGGGCAGCCCTGGGCGGGAAGTTCGCAGGCTTCTTCAGTCCGGGCTGTTCCTCCGCGGCCGTACCTGAGCTAGAACACGTTGGAGGCTGTCACACTAAGGACGCCACGGGGCGTGCTAAGGTGGGCGGGGTTTGAGGCGGGGGCCGCAATGCAGGCTGGGGACTGTAGTTCCAGCGCATGTCGGGGCCAGCGCATGTGCACCTCCAGTCAGCCGTACTTAAGCTGTTTTTTCTTTTTAAAATATATTTTTATTTCAGAGAGGAAGGGAGAGGGAGAGATAGAAACATCGATGATGAGAATCATCGTTCGGCTGCCTCCTGCGTGCCCTCTATTGGGGATCGAGCCCACACCCCCCCACCAGCACTCGAACTGCGACCTCCTGGTTCATAGGTCCACGCTCAACCCCTGGGCCGCAGGGGCTGGGCGTGAGATTTCTGTCTGAAGAGATTCGCGGGCCTGTAGGGCTGAAAGGTGTGCTGGGAAGTGTGGGAAGTGTGGTGGCTGTGGTCCCGTTGTAAGGCATGCTGGGACATGTAGTTTCTTTTAAGTCTAACGTGGCCTAAGACGTTCATGCCTGATACCTGTACTTGGCTTAACACTCCGGGCTGGGAGGACGCCGAGACAAAATAGGGCGTTCCTGTAGCCTTGAGGTGCTCCCAGGATGGCAAATGTCCAGTTTTAAATAGTGAGTTCCTATCAGCAGAGCATGGAAGCAGAGACGAATGTCCTCAGCCCGTTTCCCCAGTTTTCATTGAGTGGAACTCTGGCGGGTCGGGGGCTCCCTCAACGAGCCCTCCTTTTCCTCCTCCTCCGGTGGCAGATACCTCACCACCAAGGAGCAGTTCCATGAATTCCTGGAAGCTGGAGGGCGGGAGAAGCCCAGCCAGGAAACCGCGGGAGGAAACCATTGTGACTGTGACCTGTCTGAGCCTGAGGCCAAGCGGATCCGACTGGAGGATGGACAGCCAGGAGAGGGCGCCACGGAGGAGGCAGCTGAGCACCTCGAGCAGCCTCAGACTCAGAAGAGAGCTCGGGGTCAGAACAAGGCCCGGCCTCACATAAAACCCTCCCACTATGACAAGAACAGGCTCTGTCCCTCCATTGTGCAGGTTAGTGTCATTGTCACCATCAAGTCCCGGAAGCATTCAGTTGGAGCCTCTCTGCCCCCCATTCAGTCCTCATGATGTTGTAATGTAAAAAGCATTATTGTTCCCATTTCCCAGATAAAGAAACTGAGGCACGGTGAGGTTACTGACTAGCCCATGACACAGCCAGGAGGGGAAGGATCTTTGATTCAAAGCTTGGCTACCCCCGCCTCTCCCTGTCCTCTTTCACTGCCTCCCTCTTCCCTGCAGGAATCAGCTGCAAAGTGTTTTTTTGGTGATCGCTGTCGTTTCCTACACGATGTGAGTTGCTACCTGGAGACCAAGCCGGCTGACCTGGGTCCCCGCTGTGTACTATTCGAGAACTATGGCAGGTGCCCCTATGGTGTGACCTGCCGCTTTGCTGGGGCCCATCTGGGGCCTGAGGGCCAGAATCTGGTGCGGGAGGAGGTGGTCCCAGCCCCTCCCGTCCGCAACGGCTTGGACAAAGCTCTGCAGCAGCAGCTGCGAAAGCGCAAGATCCATTTCGAGCGTGCCGAGCAGGCCCTGCACCAGCTTGGCAAGGGCCACCTACCAAGCCCCACCCCTTCTGCCACTGTCCCTGAGGTCCCAGGGGCTGCGAGTGCCCCAGGGCAGGACAACTGTGATACCCAGCAGGCCCCCCTGGCGCCCTGCACTGGTACCCCTCCCAGCAGCCCCATGCAGACCTGCGGGCCCCTGACGGATGAGGACATAGTCAGGCTTCGGTCTTGTGAGAAGAGGCAGGTATGTGTCACAGGCTTCCTATTGAGGACGCTAGCAATGGGGAGCAGAAAGAGCTGGACACACCTCCCAGCCCCAGAGAGTCAGGGCTGAAGCAGAGGGAGGCAGTGGGGAGGCTTCATGGAAGAGGGCATTGGGACTGGGGTTTTGAGAGTTGACTAGAAATTATCCAGAAGAGAGTATGGAGAAAAGACCATTTCTCATGGATGGATTGGTTGACATATGCAGAGATTTAGAGGAAAAAGGGTGGTAGGCCAGTGGGGCAAAGCTCAGCATGTTCTAGATCGTGGGGAGGAGGGAGGCCTCAAAATCCAGATTGGAGGGTGGAGGCTCAGTGGTGTTTTCTTTCCTTCCAGCTCGACATCAGCGGCAAACTGTACCTGGCCCCCCTCACCACGGTAGGACCCACGTGGGTGGGCTGGGTGGTGGCAGTGTGGTCACTCCAACAGTGCCCAATGCCTGCCAGTCTTGGGTATTCCTGTTGACACTAGCAGTGGAGTGGGGGCAGGAGTTGGGGGTCCCTGCTTGTCACACCCTTACCTGTTTGTGTCCCCCACTGCCACCAGTGTGGGAACCTGCCTTTCCGGCGAATCTGTAAGCGCTACGGGGCTGACGTGACGTGTGGGGAGATGGCTGTTTGCACCAACCTGCTGCAAGGCCAGACGTCCGAGTGGGCCCTGCTCAAGCGCCACCCGTGCGAGGACATCTTTGGTGTCCAGGTTGGTGCTGCCACAAGGGAGGAGAAAGAGAGGGAGAGGGGGCTTTCAACTGCCAAGATCTGGAGCAAGGTGTCACTTCCCAGATCCTCTCGCCTCGGCCGTGGGCCGGGGGCGCCAGCCTGATGCATCTCCAAGGGCTAATGCCTGGGGATGGGGCCGGGGTGGGGCCAGGCAGGGATGGTCTGAACTGGCCCTGGCCCCTCACCTCCTTTGCTCCAACACCTGCCGTAGCTGGAGGGTGCTTTCCCGGACACTATGACCAAGTGCGCAGAGCTGCTGAACCGCACCATCGAGGTGGATTTCGTGGACATCAATGTTGGCTGCCCCATCGACCTTGTGTACAAGAAGGTAGCGACCATTCAGCCCTGGATCCCAGAGTGGGCAGATTGTAGATAGGGTGGAGGTCAGGGAGCCGGCCTCACTCCTGCCTCAGTCTCTGGGAACCTATGGGGGTCCCTGTGCCTCAGTTTCCCTTTTCACAGCAAGGACAGTGAGGGGTGTTGGGCCCGGCTTGGGTCTTGCCCTCCATTGCTCCAGCCGCCTGTCTCTCCCAGGGTGGGGGCTGCGCCCTCATGAACCGCTCGGCCAAGTTTCAGCAGATTGTGCGTGGCATGGACCAGGTATGCCGAGCTGTCCCCACCTTCCCCCGCCCGGCTCTGCGCCCTGCTGACCGCACTCATCCCCACAGGTGCTGGATGTGCCGCTGACAGTGAAGATCCGCACGGGCGTCCAGGAGCGTGTGAACCTGGCACACAGGCTGCTGCCCAAGCTGCGGGACTGGGGGGCAGCCCTGGTCACGGTGGGTCTCGGGGTGCAGCGGGTATCAGGCCTCGGGGGCACTCCAGCTACCGCTTCTAATGGTCTCTCTCTTCCCCACCTCCCTCTTCATCTCGGATCTCCCTTCATGTCTCTGTCTGTCTGTCTGTCTGTCTCTGTCTGTCTCAGCCTGGGTTTCTCTCTCTCTCTCTCTCTCTCTCTCTCTCTCTCTCTGATGTCCTGCCTCCCCTCCCTGTGTGGCCACTCTTCCTCTAGCTGCATGGCCGCTCTCGGGAGCAGCGCTACACCAAGCTGGCTGACTGGCAGTACATCAAGCAGTGCGTGGCGGCGGCCAGCCCCATGCCCCTGTTCGGTGGGTCCCCAACTCTCACCTGAGACCCCTCCCTGCCCCAGTGGGAGCTGCTGGGCTGGCAAGAACTCCCCCGGAGCTGGCTTTCCTGCCTGTAGGCAGCTCCCTGAGGCCCTATCTCTGCCCCTCAGGAAACGGGGACATCTTATCCTATGAGGACGCTAACTGCGCCATGCAGACCGGTGTCACTGGAATCATGATTGCCCGGTAGGTGGGCCCGGGGCCTGGGGGTTATCTGGAGCTGCCCCTGGGCCCGGCCTGCAGCTCCGGGAGGGTGGGTGTGTGTCTGAGCTTTGTCCCATTTGTCACAGTGCCTCAGCCCAACGGCTTGGCCTCCTGGTCCATTTATCCCCAGCGGGTGGCTGTCTGTGCAGAGAGATGGCAGGCCTGCAGCTGGCCGGGGCCGGAGGGACTAGAAATTTCCGCAGCTGTTGGCTTGGGGTGCGGGTTGGGACTCTTGGGCTTCAAGGCTTCTGGAACGGCTGGAGAGTCTGTCTGCAGAGCTGGAGGGACAGGGACTGTGGGTTTGGGGCCTCTGACCACTCCCCGCCCGCAGTGGTGCCCTGCTCAAGCCGTGGCTGTTCACGGAGATCAAGGAGCAGCGACACTGGGACATCTCCTCATCCGAGCGCCTGGACATCTTGCGGGACTTCACGAACTACGGCCTGGAACACTGGGGCTCGGACACGCAGGGCGTGGAGAAGACCCGCCGCTTCCTCCTCGAATGGCTCTCCTTCCTGTGCAGGTGGGTGTGGAGCCGCTGCGGGGCGGGTGTCGGTGAGGCCAGCCTGGCCCACCCTGTCCCCACCTGCCTGCAGGTATGTGCCTGTGGGTCTGCTGGAGCGGCTCCCACAGAGGATCAACGAGCGGCCCCCCTACTACCTGGGCCGAGACTACCTGGAGACGCTCATGGCCAGCCAGAGGGCCGCCGACTGGATCCGCATTAGGTGCCTGGGACCGAGGAGCCGGGGGAGGGGGTGCGCGTCCTGGGTCGGGGGGGTGTGGCCCAGGCCTGACCCTGCCCTCCGCCTGCCCTCACAGTGAGATGCTGCTGGGACCTGTGCCACCCAATTTCGTCTTCGTGCCAAAACACAAGGCCAATGCATACAAGTAGCTGCAGGGGTGGGAGGGCCTCGGAGGCGTCGTGGCGAGTGAGAAGACAATAAACTTCATTCTTTTAAAACTGGGCCTTTCTGTGACCCCGAGGCTGCCCCTTCCCACCCCCGGGAGCTCTCCCTGGACACCTGCCCATCCCTGTCCCTGACAGCTCCCTTCTTCCTCCCTCCCTCATTCACCAAAGTCGCCCGGCAGGCCACTGCTGATGCCCAGAGAGGCCTTGAACATAAAGAAGCCGCTGGGGCTTCTGGGGAGGAACCATGAAGGGGGACCTTTGGCCTGTGGGGATGTGGATCAGGGTGGGCTGCCTGGAGGAAGGGGCCTCAGAGCTATTAGATTGGCATTGCTATTAAAGGCAGAAGGCAGTGTACTAGGCCCAGGATCTGCCCCACACCGTGACACCTGTCTGTGGCTGCCTTGGTTTTCCCTTCTATCCCTGCCCACCCTCCCCCACCTCCAATACCCGGAATCCTGACCAGCGGGCTGGAACCTGCTGCCCGGAGTAACCAGGCAAACAGAACTCCGCACGACCTCTGAGCCTGTTCTCTGGGTGGGCTGCCTGTGCTCCCACCTGCCACCCTCTGGGCCTGCCCAGGCTGGGCCCCCACCCCCCATGCAGCACCCGAAGCCCTTCTACACTCCTGCAGCCCCCCAAGAAGGTTTCAGCCCTCGGGGCCTGGATGGCACCGAGGGACCAGGCAGCCAGCCCACTCCTGCCTGCACAGAGCCTCTCCCCACTGTGGGTACGTGTCAGGGAGCAGCGAGGTTGGGGTGGGGGGTGGGGCTCTGCCCACCAGCTTCAGGACCCCACTACCAGCCTGCCTTTGTTCACAGGTTCCTCCAACTTGTATCACCCCCCAAACCTGGAGAAAGAGGTGTTTCCAGGCCCTCCAGCAGGTACTGGCCTCCTCCCCACCCTGACTGCACCCGGAGTGGGTGGGGAGGCAGGGCATCTTGCCTCCACCATGGCTCCTCGCTCCTCGAAGCAAGACTCATGCCCTTGTTTTCCAAAAGGGCTCCCGGACCACGGTCTGTGCCCCGTCTAGACAAGGCCTATTGCTCATGGCCCTGACGGGTCCCTCAAGCCCAGGCTCATGTCCACAGGCCCCCGGGTTCAGGGCCCCCGTCTCATTCTCCCTCCCCTGCAGGCGGGTTGTAGCCCTGCCCTCTCAGGGCCACCCTCCTGGGCCCGCAGGTTTCCAGATGGCGCCCTGCGGCTGCTTCTTTGACCCCCGCATTTACCGAATCGAGTGGGCCACCACCGACTTTGGCCAGTCGTCCCTGTACAAGCTGGCAGCAGCGGGTGGTGGGGTGCCAGCTGGGGGCCCCAATTCACCCAGCACCTACCTCCTAGAGTCCCAGCACTACCTCAAGGCCCCGGTTCCGCCTCCACCCTACCCCCATTTCCAGCCAGTGCCCGGGGGCCCCCAGTACCTCCTGCCCTACTTCCCCCCTGAGGGGCCCGGGCCTGAGACCCTGGGCTTTATGGGGGATGGGGGAGCCCCCGCCTTCGTGGAGCTGCCCCCGCCCCTGCTCAAGGAAGGCCTGGTGCCCCTGCCCCCGCCGCTGCCCAAGGAAAACAAGCTGCCGCCTGTGGTCATCGCACTGCCTGCCGAGGCCGCGCTGCCCCCCGGGGGCTACGGCCACCTCAAGGGTCGCCTGAGCCAGTTCCTCATGCCTGGGGAGCCCCCAGCCTTCCCTGCTAAGGAGCTGCAGGGCGGTGGCACTGGGCCGGGCCTGCTGTACCCCCCAGGCCCTGGGGGCCCCAAGGCAGCCCCATTGGAGGCGGGAGAGACCAGGTCCCCCGAGGCCGCCAGGGCCTTCGTGCTGCCTGAGAAGGTGCTGCTGGAAGACGCCATGAAGCTCTTCGACTGCCTGCCAGGGGGTGCCGAGCCCGAGGGGTCCCTGCGCAAGGCCCCGGGGCCAGCCCTGCCCGACAGCGGGGGCGGTGGGGACGACTCCTCCAGCGACATCCGCTCGCTGCACCTGCCGGATGAGCTGCTGTCCTTCGACTACAGCGTGCCCGAGATCCTGGACACTGTGTCCAACGTGGACTACTTTTTCAACTTCAAGGCGCTCGACGAGGAGCCACCACCCTGCCCAGGGCCCCCCGCCATCACCATTGCGGCCCCTGTGCTTCGGGCCGAGCCCCCCAGCAAGAGAAAGTCTGGTGCCTCAGCCACCAAAAAGGGGAGACAAGGAGGCAAGAGTAAGCAGGCCATGGGCCTGGCCAGCGCCCCACCCCCCGGGACCCAGGCAGGACCTGGGAGCCACCCCCCATTAAAGCGGATTTGATCTCAGCCCAGTGTCTGCTCGGTGGCGATGGGGGCGGTAGGCCGGGGCGGACGTGAGGGCTTGCCTCTCACCCGCTCTAATGCCCAATGGCCCCAAACCAGGAGGGGAGGCCCTGCAGGACCCCGCGCCTCCTGGGCTTCCCAGACTTCCAGACTGAGCGAGGAGCCCTGGGCTCGGGATTCTAAATCCCTTCTGTCCGGGCCCTGGAGAAAGGAAGGGGGCTTTGCCACTCAGACGCCTGCGCTGTGAGGATTCCTCACTCCGAGTTTGGTGAGGAAAGTCAAGGCTGCCCAGAGACGGGCAGGAACCTGCCTGGAGGGAGACACAGCAGCAGGGTGGGCCCCAGCCCTGCCCTCTGCTGTCCCCTTGTGCCATAGTCAGTGGAGGGGACGTTTGAGGGGGTTTCAGCTGGGCTCCGCCTCAGCCCACCTCCCAAGGGGTGGGTGAGAGGCCTGGGGAGGGGCCGTGGTGCCTGTGAGGGACCCCGTGCTGGTCCAGGCAGACGTGGAGGCAAGTGCTGGGTGGAGGTGAAGGCACCTGGTGGCCTGAGGGTGGCGGCTGGGCAGGCAGGTGGGAGGTGGAACCCCAAAACAAGCCACCTGTGATGGGGACCAGCAGAGTGCACCCGGTGACAGACCAGGGTGGGCAAGCCTGTCCCAGGAAGGGCATCCAGCCAGGCCTCGCATGCTGCGTGCCCCCTGGGTCCCCTCAGAGGTCCTCTATCCCAAGCAGCAGGCACGGGAGAGCCCGGAGTTCGGGTCCGTATCTCACCCCTGCGCCTTCCCACCCTGTCTTGTCCTCGGCCCATGGAGCTCCTCTTCCCCTTGCCTGCTCCAGGCTCTCCTCAGCCTTTCCCGGGGCAGCTGCAGCCACAGCCTCTGAAACCCTCAAGGTGAGCCTGAAGGGGCCAACTTGGTTTCCCAGGTAACATATAAGGCAAGCATGTCAAACGCAAAGGCTAACACGGGCCAATAAACAAGGTGTAAGTGTATGTGGGCCACGAAAAAACAAAAGCTTCAACTTTCATAGAAACGTAGGTTTATTTTGACAGAGACATGCTGAATACAAAGGGCTGAAATAAATGAGTCATCGTTAATAATAGAACATTTTAATAAAAATTAATATTTTTCTTGAATATTAACTTACCAGACACTGAATAACTGCACAAATTAATAAGCGTAACGCAAATAAGCCTATTTTTCTTATCCGAAGTGAAATATTTCCTGTTGCGCACACCAAACAAGTCAGTCCAAGACTAATGACGTGGCAATCGGCTGCCAAAATATTTGCTGCTAGTATTAGTGGAGAGAAATGGTGCGCCTGCGCGTAAGGCGTGTAAGGGAAATGAATGCAACACGATTATAGTGATCAGTCATTATCGAACGTAGTTCATCATTAATAACTGTATAACAGGATATTGTAAAAATTAAGTTATGAAATTTTTATTAAAACGTTTCTAATATACCTTATATTGGTTGGGCCACAAAAATATTCACTGTGGGCCACGAGTTTGAGATGCTTGATGTAAGGGATCAGGAAGCAAAGGGAGATGGAGGCCTGCTCCCCGCCCCTGCAGAGGGGCCCTGGGCTGGGTGGTGGAGGTCAGGGGCTGGACTAGAATGAGGAAGTAGCTGTACAGGGAGGGCAGAGGGAGCTGAAGCCTGGCGCCTCTCCGTGCCCAGCACCACAAGTCCGAGGTGCTTACAGGGCTCATCTCCCTGAACCCTTATTCCAAAGCTCAGCGAAGTGGAGACAGTTATGCCCTGGCTGGTTTGGCTCAGTGGATAGTGTCAGCCTGTGGACTGAAGGGTCCCAGGTTTGATTCCAGTCAAGGGCACATGCCTGGGTTGCGGGCTCGGTCCTCGGTCCCCAGTGGGGGGGCGTGCAGGAGGCAGCCGATCAATGGTTCTCGCTCATCATCGATACCTTTCTCTCTCCCTCTCCCTCTCCCTTTCTCTCTGAAATCAATAAAAATATATTTTAAAAAGAAAGAAGTGGAGACAGCTATGCCATTTGGGCACTGTTCCCTCCAATCCTGGACTTTCACAGGTACTGGCATCATTTACGTTTGTCCCCACTGTGTCTGTCCCATCTGTTCTGCACCGAAGAGAAGTCCGAGCACACTTCCCTGGGCTTCCTGCTGAGCCCTGAAGTAGCATGTGGAGTATTTGGGATGAAAATCAAGTGTCCCCAATGAAGGGCCCTGGCAAAGGAGGTAGTGGATGATGAGCTTGTAAGAGGATGCATTTGTTTTTCTGAAGATGAATGCAGACCAGGGACAGGAAGCCAGTGTCACCTGACAACCGAACACGTCCCCTCCAGAGAGGCTACAGGGGTAGGTGGTGGGGGCCATCCTGCTCAGCCCGGAGGGCAGAGCAAGTGGTTACTTCACTATATTTGGCAGTGGAGGTGTCGATGACTGGATTGAGGCTGCGTTAGGCCATTTTAGATGGCCACAGATACGTTTTTTAACCTAAGAGTAAACAGGACCACCCAAGTTTCCATTGACAGTGAGATGGCTGCCCCATGCCACCGGGGTTTATGATGAAGTGGTGACCTCCCACTGATGGATAGGTGGATGGAAAGAGTATACATGTACATGGTATGTGTACAGGGTGGGGCAAAATTAGGTTTACAGCTGTGAATTTACAAAACAGTGTATTGTATTTTTATTATACTAGGGGCCCAGTGCACGAATTCGTGGACCTTGAAAAGAACTGTGGGGTGCAAGGCTGCAGTGGGCACAGGGGCGGGTCTCGGCCCATTTTCCATGCCCCTGCCCAGCCCCTCCTGCCACGGCCCCCAGTCCCCTGTCTCCTGGCAGCCCTGCCACCGCCACTGCTCCCACGCAGAGCGACGCAGAGCAATTGGGGCCAGCGCTGGCAGCAGGTGTGAGCAGGGCTGTTGCTGGCAGTGGGTGCGAGAGGCGGCTGCTGCCTGGGATCGCCCCTCAGGAGCAGGGGGGAGGTGTAGAAACCCTCAGGGACAATTGGGGCCGGTGCCGGCTGCGGGTGCGAGTGTCTGGTGGGACTGTGGCATGCGGGAGCAAAGAATTTTCAGTAACCACCAGAAGCTCACCCTGATGACAGCGACTGATGCCCCACCTTGGTCTGGCGCCCCCGCTCACCTGCTCCACCATCCCACCATGGCCAATGCCCACCATGTTCTGTGCACGCCCCCTGGTGGTCGGTATATGGCATAGTGACCGGTTGTTCAGTTGTTCCACCATTCAGTTAGGGTTTTATATAGAGAGAGATTATTTTCCATACAACTATAAACCTACTTTTGCCCCACCCTCTTTATGTACACAGTATCTACACACGTGCATATATGTATACATATGCACACATGTTGCACGCACGCACACGTTTCACACACAGTATACGTGTACACATATGTATACATGCATACAGTACATATCTGCACATACAAATGTGCATACTGTATGCATGCATGCACATACATATGTATATGTATTTTCTATATGTATGCACATGTATATATGCACACATGCAACCCACACACCTGCATATACGTATACATGTGCATGAATATATGCACGCATCTATGTAGAATATTATCTATACACACATGTATTGGAATGTGTATACATGTGTGCACATGCATGTATTTACATTACTTATAGGTATATACCCATGCTTATGTATATATACAGCCATAATAAAGTATGTATGTGCAAACATGTATGCTTACCTCTACACATATATATACTTGTGTGTGCATACTATATATGTATACATAAGTGTATACACATTACACAGACATGCACATGCATATGTATACATACTATATGCACGAGTACCTATTATGTCTACCTATGTATGCATGTACACACATATCCCTACATATCATGCACATACACGTGTATATGTATAGACATGTATGTATACATATGTGCGCATCACCTACATGCATATGTATAAATAACATATATAATAAAATATATGCTTTAAAAATTTTATTCGTGTTTATATAAAACATGCCTTTATATGTTTGTTTGTACATGTGTTAGGGTTTATAAACAAAGATATGGAATTTCATCCATCAATCTTCCATGGACTCCACTGCTTTTTCCTGGGTCTTAACCTTCTCTAACAGCACATGTCACTGTCTCACCCTCTGCTGAGGCCGCCTGTCACTCCATGTGTGCCTGCTGCTCTGCGTCACCCGCTCCTCTTGATTAGTGTTTGGGCCGCCCCCTCCTGACTGTTACAGCCGATGGAGGTGCTGCCATTGAGAGGAACCCCGACACCAGCATATTGAGGAAGGCAGAGCAGTGCAAGTAGGTGTCAGGAAACCACCACCCATGACTGATGCTCAGGCCACCTGCTTGTTTTGCATGCAATTTATTATGACAACTCTGAGCCTCCAGTGCACCTCAGCGCCTAAACTGGAAACACGCACAAGACTTTCTGCACCTGTTGCACAGACTGACCCAGTACCCTTTGAAGCTGTGGCCCTGCTCCATGTTCAGCCATTTGGGGATCATGTAGGCCAGCCACACAGACAGCAGGATGGTTATCATGATCAGGGTAATGGTGATCTCAGGATGGAGGATGGGCAGTGGGAAGGCCCCGTACACGTAGATGCTGAAGGTGGTCGTCAGGTGACAGTAGCTGCAAGGGGTGGGTGGGGAGAGACCATGGGACATTGCCTTTACCCAGAAAACATTAACACCAAGATGAGGGCCCTGGACCGCTACCAGGACAGCAGGTCCCATATATATCCACTCAACTCTATCCATCCTGAGCCTGCCTTCTTCTTGTGTATTTTGGCAGCGGTCATGCCCCCCCCCCCCAGGACCCCTGGAGTCCCCTGCTCTATACCCAGGTTCCATTACAGTGTGGAAGTGGAGAGGGGGCAGGACAACAGCCACAGACATCCATGAGGCTGGCGGCCAGCAGGATGGGCAGGAAGGGCGCCCCAGGAGGGGGGCCAGGGGTTGGGAGAACTCGCTGAGGCCTCTACTGGAGGCAGGTGAAGGAGGAGGAGGTGACACATCTCACAGGTAGCCCCCTCTCTCCTCTGGATGTCCCCACCCCTATGCCTTTTGCCCAATGCCACCTCAGAGCTAGTCCCTCTGGTCCAGGATGTGGGGCCTCTAGGGAAGTCAGGGTCTCCACATGCTTTGGGAGGTGGAGTTTGTACCTGTCTTAAAGGGATAGATGATGGAGGGAGAGAATGGGCCCCCATGATTCCCTTCTCAGTGGGAGACACTGATGACCCAGATAAGCACACCAGATATGACTTAGGAGGTTCTCAGTCCTCATGGGTGGTAAGTATTCAACAGCCAGCTCTGGGGTGGGAGAGTTCTGGTTGATACTGTGCACTGATTCCCCTGGTGTAAATACTCCCACCATGGCCAATTTCAAGTCAACTGGCTTGCAGAATCCCTGAACATTTCTGAGTTGGCTCCTTCACATCACCAGATATGGCATGAGAGGGTAACTGTGGCCCCCATTGGGAGAATGGGTCTCCCATACGTGTGATGTGCCCAGCCGTTCCCAGAGGCCCTGGGCACAGGGCGGTTTCCCCCACCCCGCCCTACTCACCTATAGTACGGATCCACGATATAAATGATAAAGACATAGATTCCATTCCTTTGGTCGAAAATGATCTTGTTTTCTGTTGGGCCTCCCAAGATCTGATATGGGACGTTAGGCCATTGCAAGGGATTGTTATTGTTGGGGTCGTGGCAGCTCACATAGTTCTGGGGAGGAGAACAGGGGTGTGGGAGCTGGGGAAAGCCATGCTAGCACCACAGTCAGCCCCACTTGCTCACCAGCCACCCAGGGTTCAGGCCAGGGCCGCGTGCTCCTGGTCCCTGTGGAGGTGGCTGTGGACGCTGCTCAGCTTCACCCCTCCCTCTGCTTTCCCGGCGTTTGTGCAACATTGTGAACGTACAAGACAAAGGAGTGTGTGCTCTAAAACCTCATTGTGTTCTGTGAATTTCACATCGTTAAAAAAAAAACACCACACAAGTAAAACCAATGTCACCAACAAAACAGATGACCAAATTCGCATGACAGAAGGGGGTGTAAAAAAGGATCCACGCCCTGGCTGGGTGACTAAGTTGGTTGGAGCATCGTCCCATGCACCAAACGGTTGCGGGTTCGATTCCCAATCAGGCCAGCATACCTACGTTGTGGGTATGTAGGGGAGGCAACCAATGGATGTTTCTCACATCAATGTTTCTCTCTCTCTCCCTCTCTCTCTAAAAAAATCATTGAAACAAAACCCCATGTCCTCCAGTGCGGATTTTAAAAAGGAGCCAAGAATCTGCAGGCAGGACTGGGCCCAGGTGTGGGAGCCAGCATCACCTATTGGGAGCGTTGCTGCATTGCGCTGTGTCTGTGCCTTCGGAGTTGAGGGACTCAGTCGATGGAAATGATTAATGTGCATCCCAAAAGGACTAATGCGATTTCTTCCCTTTACTGACATTGTGTCCTTATGTGTCAGTTGTGTACAAACCAATGTGCATGATAGAAATGCTCGCTGAGCAGAACAGATGGCAAATTTAATCAGCCCCTTAGAAATGGGCATTTGGATGGTTCTAGAACATGATCAGCAATGCCCACAGCTCTGAATGTTTGGCCAAAGCCTTTGGGAGAGATTCCCAAAGGAGTCACAGGTCTTACATTCCCATTGTGCTCCCCGCCCCCCACACCCGCTGTGGACTGAATATTGGTATTCCCCCCCCCCAAAAAAAAATTCACATGTTAAAACCTAACCCCCTGCCGAAGCCGGTTTGGCTCAGTGGATAGAGCGTCGGCCTGCGGACTGAAGGGTCCCAGGTTCGATTCCGGTCGGGGGCATGTACCTGGGTTGCGGGCACATCCCCAGTAGGGGGTGTGCAGGAGGCAGCTGATCGATGTTTCTCTCGATGTTTCTAACTCTCTATCTCTCTCTCTTCCTCTCTGTAAAAAATCAATAAAATATATTTAAAAAACAAACAAAACAAAAACAACCCCCTAACCCCTTAAGGGGATGGTACGAGGAGATGGGGGGCTTGGAGAGGTGATTAGATCCTAAAAGCTGTGCCCCTATGAAAGGACCTCTGAGAGCTCCCTCGCCCCTCGGCCACGTGGAGACACAGGGAGAAGACAGTCACTTAAGGAACCAGGGAGGTGGCCTCTCCCCAGACACCAGGTCTGCAGCACCTTGACCTTGACCTCCAGCCCCCAGGGGGGGAGAGAATAAAATGTTGCTGTCCACAGCCCGCGGCTGTGGTATTCTGTGACAGCAGCTAGACGGACCCAAACGATCGGAAGAGTGACTGCTACCTCTCGGTCCCAGGTGAAGAAGCCCTGGAAGTCCTTCATGATGGTGGACCAGTTCTGGGGCTGGGAATTGCAGCGCGCGGTCCTCGCCGTCAGGGAGTACGTGTATGTGAACAGCCCGTTCACCTCCAGCAAGACGTACTCGGCCTTCACAACCTCCTGGAACTTCTCTCCCTGCCACCTAGGACACACGCACAGAGCGGCGGGGCTGGGGTTGTGCAGGGAGCAGGCAGCCGTGGGTTAGGAGACCGTTCTGGGGCGGGGATCCCGCCCCCGGCGGACACTCGTGGATGGTCAACAGGTGGACGCAGCAGAGGCAGGCGGGACAGAGTGGGGGGGGGCACGGGAGGGGGCCAAGCATTGAGATTTTCCATGGGGTGGGCACAGAGGCGTCTCCGGGGAGGAGACACGTGAGCAGAGCCTGGGAGACACTGGTGTGATGTCCTACCACCGAATGACGTCGTTTGTTAAAGATTCCGATTAATTAATAAGCAAGTAAACCATGAACGACGCCCTTCGCACCAGTCCGCTGGTGTTTTCTGGACGAGCATCTGCCAGCGTGCAGCGGGGCTCCCTCCAGGGCGGTAAGGAGGGCTGCTCTAAGGCGCCGTTGCTCGGACGCACGTTCTGCGGAGCTGACCTCCTCGGACAGGACCCTTTCCTGCCCTCACCCCGCTCACACATCCCCGCATGGCGGCTCTGAGCCAGGGCTGGCCCCTAGGCCACGCCTCGGTCCTGTGTGTCTGCCTGGGATTTTACCCGGGCGCCGAGTGGGACAGGTGGAGCTAAGACGTGAGGGGCTGACCTAATGCTTGCGGCGTGAGCTGTTCCGTCTGGCCACAGCCACGCAGTCAGGTGATAGGCCAGGCCGATGAGCTTCTTTCAATTAGTTCCCACTAAGTCACACGGAAAGCCAGGTGCTCTGGCTACGTGCCCAGTGCCCAGTGGCCACGTGGAGCTCCTGGCTGCCCATCGGGTGGCCCAGAATTATGGGGCGTTTCCACCACCACAGAGTCCTGGGCCACCACGGGGTTGGGGGCCCTGGTCCCAGCCCCCGAGGGCCTGTGCTGAAGTGACCTTACTGGACCGTCCATCACCCGAAAAAATGCAGGAATGACACCAAAGTATGTCCCCCAAATTCGGATGTTGGAGCCCCAGCCCCCAGGGTGACTGTCTGGAGGGGCCCTGACCCCGGAGGAGAGGAGACTCCAGGGCTCACTGGCTCCCGCCACCCGAGGAGGCAGGAGGCGGCCGTGGGGCGCAGGAGCCTCGGGGAACCAGCCCTGCTGACTCCTTGCTCTTGGACTTGGGGCCCCAGGACTGAGAGACAGTCACGTCTGACGTCTAAGGCCTCCCCCAACCCTCGCCCCCGTCCCTGGAATGTTGTCATGGCCACGGGAGCTAAGACGGTGGGTGGGTGGGCACGTAGGGGCTGTCTGAGCTGAGAGCTGGGGGCGGGGGGGGGCAAGAACAGGGTAGGGAGAGGGTACAGCTGGGCAGAGGGCCAGTGGGGCTGGAGAGGCTGGGGGTGGAGGGGGCTGAGGGGAAGACTGAGCTTTATCCAAGAGCGATGGGGGCACCTGAAGGGCCAGGCGGAGCGGGGAGCAGGGAGCATGGCCGACCGCCTCCCCGCCAGCCTCACAGGGAGCTTACAGTTCCACCACGGGCTTCCAGGGAGTGTCATAGGGGACGAGGAGGGGACAGCCCAGCTTCTCGTAAGGGTAGTGCACCACCAGGTCCTGGTCGGCCTTCTGGCCCTGGAGGTTGGGGTCGTAGGCTTCCCTGAGCAGAGAGGGGGCCGGGGTGAGGTCCCTCCAGGCGGCCCGGTGCCCACCCCACCCCCTCTTCCAGGCTCAGCTGCTTCCAGGGGAAGGGAGCTGAGGAGGGGGCAGCAGCCAGCCCCCCTGCGATGGTAACTTTTTGGGGCCCCTTTGGTGGGGCCCCAGAACCTGGATGTGTGGTCAGACATTATTCTGATGTTTCCATGAGAGTGTTTTTTGGGGATGAAATTAGCATTTAAATCAATTGGACTCAGTAGAGTGCCCTCCCCAAGGCAGGTGCATTCAAAGGCCTTAATAGAAAAAATGTGTGCCTTCTCTCTCCCTCCCTCCTTCCCTCCCTCCCTCTCTGTCTTTCTGTCTCTCTCACTGTTTCTCTGTCCCTCTGTCTGTCTGTCTCACACACACATCCTGTCACTTCTCTTTCCATGAAGACCCCTGACTCACACATTCCTTTGTGCCTCATGAGGCCTGACTGCAGCCACACTGGTCAGTAAGCCCAACCGCGCCAGTATGGGCCTTGGCCGTGGCCCTGGACAGCTGACTGACTTTTGGTTTGTATCCAAGGCCATGTCTTCTCACAGCGGGGGGGGGGGGGGGCTGCACCAGCAGGGAGGGGCTCCCCGAGCCTGGTGCTAAGACGGCTGAGCCCCTTCCATGCCCTCTTGGTGGCACGAGGGACCAGAGCACGGCTGAGAGGCGCCCCTGGGCTCCCACCCCCTCCTGCTCTGGCCACAGTGTCTGGCCAGCTCTCCTCGCTCAGCGGAGCCGGCCACAGGCTGGGAAGGGTCTGTAAGATGGGGGTGGTCACAGGAGGGAGGGGGTGAAGGAAAAGAGCTGGCTCACTTCTCGATGACGTAGCTGTAATTGTCCTGAAGGACCACGGGGTCGAGGTTGCCTTCGGAACAGGCTGAGATTTCGCTGAAAGCAACAAAAGGGGGTGAGGCGCTGCTGACCCCACACAGAACTGAAGCAGCATGAATTCTTCCCTTTGACATATATGCCCCATTGGTTTGATATTCGAGCCCTTTCTTACTCTCTGGTTCTCCGAGATGTTCCAGGCTTATCTCACCCAAGGATATTTTCCCATTGATTTTTATAGAGAGTGGAACAGAGGGAGAGGGACAGGGGAGACGGGGAGAAAGAAAGGGGGAGGGGGGTGAGAGAAACACTGATGTGAGAGAGACACATTTATTGGTTGCCTCCTGCATGGGCCTAGGATTGAACTGGTATGTGCTCTTGACTGGGAATCAAACCGGAGACCCTTTGGTATACAGGCCAATGCTCTAACCACGGATCCACACCGGCCAGGGCACTCCAGGCTTACCTTGCATCTTATCTGCCCAGCCTAGAATCAGCCCTTTCTCCAAGGAGCCCTACGGCCAAAATCATGGCACTGGGTGTTCTGACATTTGAAACCATCATTTCCTTGTTCTTCTATGTACTGTGCCACCTGGGCATTCATCCTTAGTTGATTTTTGCCTGATTTTGTCTTCTTAAGACTAGACTCATGCTATGTGTGTTCTCTTATGTCTTTAGAACGATCCATCCAGCTAATTCTGCCTCATTTGTTTTCATGGCCACATTAGGCCATTGTATCAAAACATCATACCTCATCTACCAGCCTCAGGTCCAAGCATGTCACACTCGCGGCCGGCATGATAGACGAGGCATGCGCCCACCAGCCGCGAGTTTGACGTGCTCGCTCTAGTCGATGGACATTTGAGTTGGCATGCTTCCAGCTTGGTGCTATTAGGCCCTGGCCCGGTAGCGCATGGGCTGAGATACACCAAGGTTGGGGTTCAATCCCATCAGGGCACATACAAAAATCAACCCATGAATGCACAAGTGAGTAGAACAACAAATCAATCATCTCTCTCTCTGTAAAAAAAGTAAATAGTTAAAAAAAAAGAAAAGAAAAGAATGCTGCAGCCCTGGCCGGTGTGGCCCAGTTGTTGGGAGCATTGCCCCTTATACTGAAGGGTTGTGGGTTTGGTCCCCAATCGATGTACCCCCTCCCCTCCCTTCCTCCTCCCCTCCCCCGCTTAGTAAAATCAATAAGCATATCCTCAGGTGAGGATGGAGAAGAAGAATGCTGCAGGGAACATTCTGGAACCTACACCAGTACAATGTGCATGAGTGGAAGGGCTGACTGAAGGATGTGCTTCCACAGGAGCGGGATGTGTGCGCGCCCACCAGCAGTTCCTGTGATTCCGGAAGCTGCCTGAGGGGCCCCAGCCGCCCCGGGCTCGCCACTGGCTAGGCTCTGCCAGCCCCTCCTGTGGGGGGATGTGGTCTCCAACACAGGTTTTCATTTTCCTTTCCCTATTAAGCGGGCTTGACCACCTTCTCAGCATCCTGTCACATGCTATCAGCCTCCATTTCTTTTCTTTTCTTTCCTTTCCTTTTCTTTTCTTTTCTTTTTTTCTTTCCTTTCCTTTCCTTTTCTTTTCTTTTTTAGACATGACTTTGCCCATTTTTGGTCTGTTCGTTTCCCTCTCTCTCTCTATTTTAATGTATTGATTTTTAGGTAGAGGAAGGGAGCAAGAGAAGAAGAAACATGGATTTGCTGCCCCACTTATTTATGCGTTCATTGGTTGTATCTTGTATGTGTTCTGACCAGGATCGAACCCACGACCTTGGCATATCGGGACAACGCTCTAACCAGCTGAACTATCCTGCCAGGGCTTTCTCTCTCCCTTTTTAAATTGATTTGTAGGAATTCTTTATAAATTCTGGTTACCAGTCCTTTGTTGGTTACGTATGTGGCAAATACCTTCCCACTCTCTAAGGCAAAAGTTTTTAAATATTGTATTAAGAACCTTTCCTACACACATGTTCTAAATGAGTAACTTATTGCTTCAGTGAAGTGTTTCCATGGGCGGCGGGGGGAGGGGGGGGTCATCACCTGAGTGTGTGACTGCCTTGTGCAGGGAGCACTAAGGTCCACTCCTGATGGGCCCTGGAGCCGACTGCAAAGTTGCAGGATCGGGACCTCTGTGATGGCTCATGGGGCAGCCGGGCGTCAGTGCCCTGGGAGTATTTACACCAGGGGGGTTGGCAGTGCTGCAGATTAGGGCTCCCTCTCTACCCAGACCCTGCCTGAAGGGCAAAAGGCTGGTAACTCGGCCAATCTTCAGACTTTGGTGTTGTTTTTTTGAAGCATATTTGTATTGATTTCAGAGAGGAAGAGAGAGGGAGAGGGATAGAAACATCAATGATGAGAGAGAACCATTGATCGACTGCCTCCTGCACACTCCCCACTGGGGATGGAGCCTGCAACCTGGGCATGGCCCTGACCTGGAATCTACCACGACCCCCTGGGTCCTAGGCTGATGCCCAATCACTGAGCCACACCGGCCAGGCCAGATTTGGTCTTTTTCTTGGATTCCCATGGCCTCATTCCCTGGGGGAGTGGTGGACACTGGAGGCAAAGTTCCCAAATTATTCATCAAGCAATTAAAACAAAATACCTGGCATGATTCTGCTTAAAATGAGGAAATAAGGAATTAAAAGGAAGGACTAGGACAGTGATGGCGAACCTATGACACGCGTGTCAGAGGTGACACGCGAACTCATTTTTTGGGTTGATTTTTCTTTGTTAAATGGCATTTAAATATATAAAATAAATATCAAAAATATACGTCTTTGTTTTACTATGGTTGCAAATATCAAAAAATGTCTCTATGTGACACGGCACCAGAGTTGAGTTAGGGTTTTTCAAAATGCTGACACGCCGAGCCCAAAAGGTTCGCCGTCACTGGCCCAGGAAGAGAAAATGACTAGGGAGGAGGGAAAAATGTGAATGTCGCCGAGTCAGGGAAGGAGGAGGCCCGCTGTGCAAGCAACTCAGACCCGACCTAATAGTATAGACTAGCGCCTGTTTATGGTGGAAACGGCGAGCAGAGACACAAGTACACAGGATGCAGCACTTCAGCAACTGTGGAGCCACGGTGACCAATCCCACCCCATCCCTACACCCCACTCCCCACCACCCCAATATCAGTAACACACTTACTTCTGAACAACGATCTTTTTCTTCAAGTCACAGCCAATGGAAATGAGCGCCGTCTGGGGAGAGGGAGGGAGGGAGGGAGAGAGAGAACCGGATCAGTGAGGGCCACGAATAGCCCAGCCACACTGAAGGCCAGCTGGGGACACACTGGCGCGGGAACTCACTGTGCCTATGACCGGCCCCATGGAGCTCAGGCCCGAAGAGCCTGCCGAGCACAGGGGCACAGCTGAGGTCCCCCCACTGCTGACCTGCCTCTTAGGAGTTTCGAAGAGACCAGAACCCAATATATAAACTCAGCACAATGTTTGGGATACAGAGTGCAAAGGAAGTAGGGAAGGAAGGAAAGAAGGAAGGGAGGGCGGAGGAAGGGAGGGAGGGAAGGGGGAGGGAGGGAGGGATTACAATGAAAAACAGAAAAGAGAAAGACCAATATGGAGTTAGCCTGACAGCCTTAGGGATGTGCTTCTCAAACTGGGATGTGGCGGTACCCTCAGTGATCTACTAGGGAATCTAAATCCACAGGACAGGGAGACTATTATTTGAAAAGGGACCTTTATTTTAAGACAAACATGGGCTTAACCATAAAAAAGCATGCAAGATTTGTATCAATTTTTCAAAAATTGTGGTAAATAGACAATATAAACTTTAGCATCTTTTTAAATATATATTTCTATTGATTTCAGAGAGGAAGGGAGAGAGAGAGAGAGAAACATCAATGATGAGGGAGAATCATTGACCAGCTGCCTCCTGCACGTCCCCTACTGGGGATTGAGTCTGCAACCAAGGCATGTGTCCTTGACTGGAATCGAACCTGGGACCCTTAAGTCTGCAGGCCGACGCTCTGTCCACTGAGCCAAGGAGGGTGTCCTGTTTCAGGTCCATCTTCTTAGTGCCTCACCCACTGTAGTAACTATATTTTCTTCTTTTTGTCATCTTGATGCTCTGGCTCCTGGGGCCTTGCTGACAGGACCGCCCCTCCCAGGCCCGGCTAATGCATAAAGATGGCAAGTATTCACCCGAGAACACAGTCCTCCACTGCAAACCGACCCATCCAGAGCCACAGTTTTTTCTCTTAGGAGCTGTTACCTGAGTCGCCAGGGGGCTGACGGTACATGACCAACAAGGACCAGGATTCACACACCTGCTCCCAGGGTGGTCAGTCACGAGTGGCAGCCCTGGGGGAAAACTGAGGAGGGCGGTGACCCCGGGGAGAGGATCACCTGCCTTTCCACATCCTGAATGTGGGCGTGGCCAGCCCCTCAGGGAGAAGTCAATCGAGGCCTGCTGCCATTCGTAACACTGATGACAAAGGATATGGGGTAGCAAAGGTTTGGGACATACCAGTGGCTTGAGGTCCACGCACGAAATTTCCTTGTTGGCTATATCCACAGTGATGGTGGAGAATGTGGCTCTCTCTATGCTGTAAGGCAAAAGGAGTGTTGGTTATTGTACACTGGTGTTGCAGTAGAAAGAATTGCCGACCCGTCCATCTATTTGCTTATCTATCTATCTATCTATCTATCTATCTATCTATCATCCATCTGTCCGTCCATTCTGACACACCAGAAAATTGACTGAGGACCTCTGCTCACATATGGTGACCCCACCTTCCCTTGAGTTTCTACCTCTTCTTGAATCAGTTTTGTTCACTTATATATAACTAGTGGCCCAGGGCATGGACACGTACACATTGAGAGGAAATTAATTAGAAGAAATATTTTAATATCACTATTCACCATTTCTCTATAATAGAAGTGTCAACCAAATTCATGATTGACAATGACAGATCGAAACACACATGTGTGATTGGTGCCAGCGAGAGCTTCATATGTATTGCACGTGCACAAGTCAACATTTATTTTTAAGCTAGAGGCCCAGTGCATGGATTCGTGCACCGGGAGGTCCCTCAGCTTGGCCTGCGGGGATCAGGCTGAAGCTGGCATCCCACGAGGGATGTAGAAGTGCACGAAGTGGCAAGGGGCCAGGGAGGTGCCACTCCCGCTCATCCCTGACCTGTTCATCTCGGTCAGCTGAGCAGAGCTCCTGCTGCTGGAGTACACTGACCACCAGCGGGCAGCTCCTGTGTTGAGATTGCCCCTGGTGGTCAGTGCATGTCATAGTGACTGGTCAACCTGTCGACCGGTCACTGAGACTTTGATATATATAGATAACTTGTTGAAAAGAACATCTGGCTCAGCTGGGTTTTTTCTCAGTAGTTAGATGGTCGGCCTATGGGCTGAAGGGTTGCTGGCTCGATTCTGGTCAAGGGCATATACCTCAGTTGCAGGCTTGATCCCTGGCCCCGGTCAGGGCATGTGTGAGAGGCAAGCAATCAATGTGTCTCACATCAATGTTTCTCTCTGACTCTCCCCTCCCTTCCACTCTTACTAAAAAAAAATAAAAAATTAATGGAAAAAATATTCTCAGGTGAGGTTTAACAGAAAAAAAGAACATCTGACATTCAGTTTTATTGTCACCTAGCTTCATATAATGTTTTCTCACTTTAAAAGTAGCTTCTGGCCCTAACTGGTTTGGCTCAGTGGATAGAGCGTCGGCCTGTGGACTGAATGGTCCCAGGTTCGATTCCGGCCAAGGGCATGTACCTTGGTTGCAGGCACATCCCCAGTAGGGGGTGTGCAGGAGGCAGCTGATCGATGTTTCTCTCTCATCAATGATTCTAACTCTCTATCCCTCTCCCTTCCTCTCTGAAAAAAATCAATAAAATATATTTTTAAAAAGTAGCTTCTGTATTCATACTTTTATCTTCATTTTCTATTCCTATTGCTCATCTTAATTCTGTCTTTTCTCCATCAGGATTATAGGGTATTATTTATTACACCAGTCCTCTGAAGAGCCAGCTTTATCTTTCATTTTGACTTTATGCTTTTTATTTAATTCATTTCAGATCGTATAATTATTAATTTCCTTCTTATAATTTCCTTTTTTTTGCTCCCCTGGTTCCTTAAGTTAAATATTTAGTTCGTTTATCTTTAGTCATACCTTTTCCTAATGACAAAAGTGCTTGACGTATAAACTTTCCTCTGAGTATATTTTAGCTGTATTTCATGAGTTCTTTGATTCAGGGATTATTTGTAAGGGTGCTTCTTAATTCCAAGTAAAGGAGATTTTTGGTATTGTTGTTGCTTTTTGTTGTTGTTGCTGTTGTTGTGTTCTAGTTCTGTTGGATTAAGGTCTGAGGGTGTGAGCTGAACATATTACTGGGAGAACTGATTTTTTATGGCTAAATACTTAAATTATAAGGTGGCTTTTCAATGAATTTTCCACAAGCACAAGAGAAACATAATCTTATATTAGAGCACACAAAGTTCTATTTTTTACTTTATGCTTATATTTTTTCAGTTCTTTTGAGGTGTAATTAACAAATATAATGGGAGATATTTAAAGTGTAGAATGTAGAATGTGATGATAGACTGACACATGTACACACTGTAAAAGTTAACACATCCATTACCTTGCATATTATTATGATTTCGCAAAAACATCTAATTATACTCTCTTGGCAAATTTCAATTATGTAATGTAGTGTTACAGAGGTCTATAGATAGAACTAAAACATACTTGATGTTGAAGTGTTTTACTCTAGTGACACCCTACCTGTGGACTCATCCATGTTTGTCCTGTAGTGTTTGGCCTGTCTCACTGAGCAGGTCAAGGTCCATCCACATGGTAGCAGGTGTCAGAATGTCCTTCCTCTTCGAGGCTGAATAAGCTTCTTTTATGTAAAAGAACCACATTCTGTGTATCTACTCAGCTGTTAATGGATATTTAGGTTGCTCCCACCTTTTGGCCTTTGTGAATAATGCTGTTGTGAATGTGGGGGTGCAGGTATCTGTTTGGAACCCTGCTTTCGACTCGTTTGGGTATGTACCAAAAAGTGGGGTTGCTGGATCATGTGGTAATTCTATGTTTAATTTTTGTGGAACTGCCATTTGTAAAGTGTTTTCATCATTCTTTAAAAAATATTTTATTTTTTAAAAATATATTTGAATTGATTTCAGAGAGGGAGGGAAGAGAGAGATAGAAACATCAATGATGGGAGAATCATTGATCTGCTGCTTCCTGCATGCCTCACACTGGGGATAGAGCCCGCAACCCGGGCATTTGGCCTGATGGGGAATCGAACCGTGACCCTCTGGTTCATAGGTCGATGCTCAACCACTGAGCCACATATGGCTGGGCCCCTCATTCTTTTTTTAAAAATTGAATGTATTGGGGTAGCATTGGTTAATACAATTATATAGGTTTCAGGTAGATAATTCTATAATACATCCTCTATATATTGTATTGTCTGTTCACCACCCCCAGTCCAGTCTTCTTCCATCATCATTTATCCCCCCTATTTTAAAAATATATATTTTTATTTATTTCAGAGAGGAAGGGAGAGGGAGAAAGAGATAGAAACATCAATGACAGAGAATCATTGATTAGCTGCCTCCTGCATGCCCCTCACTGGGGATTGAGCCCACAACCCAGGCATGTGCCCTGACGGGGATCGAACCTGACCTCCTGGTTCTTAGGTCGACGCTCAATCGCTGCACCACACCGGCTGGGCCATCCTCCCTATTTAACCATTCTTGCCTTACCATCCTCCATGAAAGGGGCGTCTCAAACTTGGTTTTGCTGTCCTGGCTCCTGCTAAGAGAACCCCATAGACACCCTGGGGCCGCCGCCACAGTCTGAGCAATGACATACCTGGAGGTGAAGTTGGTGTCAGCCCTGCCCCAGTGGTGCTGCTGCTTCAGGGAAATGTTCTGTGGGAAGAGAGAGAAAACCCAGGGCCACAGTGGGACAGCCTGGGTCAGTCCCGAGATCGGGGTTTGGGAAGAAAGGGGCGGGGGCGCTGGGAGGAGGAGCCCCTGACCGTCCAGGCCTCTCCGGGTTCTAATTCTACTCCCATGAAAGGCTTCTGGAAGCTCATGGAAATGGCCACCCCAAGCTCTTTCATTCCCTGTTGCCTTTGCCCTGGACACAGTGTGAGGTGTAACTTTGTTCCCCTTCTCATTTCTCCGGGAAGCGACAAGAACTGGTTCAAAGAGTCCAGTTGGGGATCCTAGGCATGAGGCCTGGCTCAGACCTACAGACCCCCCCCCCCCCCCGACCAATATATCCAAGTCCTTCCCATCCCCGTGGCTCCTGCCTTCTACCACCTCAGGTACCAGCTAGTAGGGACCTCCTGCCTTCCTGGGGCTGGGTTAGCTTCCCGGCCATGTCCTCTGTGCCTCTCCCCGGTGTCACCTTAATGGTGTCACTTGCTTAGCTGAGTGCTGCCTGCCTGAGTTGGGGATGAGCTGGGAATGTCTCCTCCAAGTGCTGCAGCACCTAAGGCAGGTGCGCGCGAGGACGGAGAGGAGGAAGGAGGGTCGGGCCCAGAAATGACCACGGGCGCTGGACTCAGCCGGGTGGTCAAAGCTGTGCCCTTCACCCCATTGATCCTGGTGTGGGGCGTGGGCGTGGCTCACCAGCCTGTGCCTGGTGTTCCCATCATAGGTGTAGCCATCTTCGTAGTTGTAGACATGAAGTCCCAAAGAGTGGGGATTGCTCACCATGGCCTGGGGTGGGGACAGAAGAGGCATCAGGGGTGACACCAGCAAGTGCAGCTGCCAGTCCTCTTCCCAAATGTTCCCCCCACCTCATCCACAACCCCTAGCTGTGCCCTCTAAGCCTCGAGCTGCTGAGCAGCTGCTGCAGGGCCCAGGCCCGGCCCTCGCGCAAGGAGCAGCCGGGGGCCTGATCTGCAGAGGGAGGCCCAGATGAGAGGCCTCTGGCTGAGAGCCAGGCCAGCCTGGCGTTCCCTCACTGGCCCTGGTCCTGGCAGGCTGGACTCCCCATATTCTTACACTAAGCTACCCCCCAATTTCCAGGCTTGGACACTTGTGCACCAGGCCCAGGACACCCGTGATTCTCAGGCACTCCTGCTGCATGAGGGAAGGCTGTGAGTCAAGGCTCTGCTAAGAAGAGAAGGAACTTGTAGAAAGCACACGGGCAGCTGAAGGGTAGAGAATGGGGCGCGGAGATCTGGTGAAAGGAGCCCTGGCCCACGGCTCCATCTGCCCAGACTAGTAGAGGCTAGTTGAGGAGAAAAAGACAGATTCTATGGGTTTCGTGCGTGAGTTCTCTCCATGGGAGTCTGGGAACAATGGGTCCAGGGCGTGAGGTCAAGGACGCTGGTAACATCATGTGTCAGAAACACTTGTCCAGCCGGGCTGGTGTGGCTCAGGGCACTGAGCATCGTCCCATGCACCGAGTGGTCGCCGGCTCCATTCTGGTCAGGGTACATGCCCTAGATTGTGGGCTCAGTCCCCAGTGTGTGTGTGTGGGGGTGTGTGTGCAGGAGGCAACCGATCAATGTTTCTCTCTCTCTCCCTTCCCCCCTCTCTCTAAAATCAATAAAAACATATCTAAGGGGAAAAAAGAAACACTTGTCCAACAGATAAGATGTCCTTACGAATGGGACAGGGGTTGTGCCTGGCCGGGGTATCATCTCGGCGGCCAACTCCAATTTGCTGTTCATATCAATGGTATACATTTTATTGTCAAATGATCCTTGCAGTACTTCTACCTAGTTAGAAATGTAAAAAAATTAATAATTAATTAATTAATTAAATCAAGTCTTGTTCTCCCCAAAGAAAAGGGCAAGTAGGTGAGAGGTCAGCAGTCACCCCGAGGGATGGGACCTTCTCTAGTCTTGTGGGTGCAGCAGCCTGGGCCGCAAATTGAACCCTCAGCCTTCTGGTGTATAGGACAACGCTCCAACCAACTGAGCCACACTGCCTGGGCGAATTCAGTGGATTTTAGAGCATTGAAAGATGGAATGAGGTTGCTGAACAAGACAGGCTCACAGATGGCATTTCCTTGGGAATGTAAATGGGTGCAGCCACAATAAAAAATAGTATAGAGCCCTAGCTGGTTTAGCTTAGTGGATAGAGCATCAGCCTGCAGACTGAAGGGTCTCAGGTTCGATTCTAGTCAAGGGCACCTGCCCGGCTTACGGGCTAGATCCCCAGTAGGGGTGCATGCAGGAGGCAGCCAATCAATGATCTTCTCTCATCACTGATGTTTCTCTCTCTTCCCTTTCCCTTCCTCTCTGAAATCAATAAAAATATATTTTAAAAAATAGTATGAAAAGTCCTCAAAAAATTAAACATCGAGCTATCATCTGACCTGGAAATTCCACTTCTAGATATTTAGCTGAAGGAAATGAAATCCCTATATTGAATGGATATATGCACCCCCATCTTCATTACAGCATATTCCCAATAGCCAAGGCATGAAAGCAATGTGTGTCCATCAGTGAGTAAACACATAGAGAAGATGCAGTGTGTATCTATATCTATATCCACAATGAAATGTTATCCAGCCTTAAAAAGGAAATCCTGCCATTTGTGACAAGGTGGAAAGACCTTGTGGGTATTATGCGAGTGAAATAAGTCAGCGAGCCAGAACCGGTTTGGCTCAGTGGATAGAGCGTCGGCCTGCGGACTGAAGGGTCCCGGGTTCGATTCCGGTCAAGGGCATGTACCTTGGTTGCGGGCACATCCCCAGTGGGGGGCATGCAGGAGGCAGCTGATCGATGTTTCTCTCTCATCGATGTTTCTGGCTCTCTGTCCCTCTCCCTTCCTCTCTGTAAAAAATCAATAAAATATATTTTTTTAAAAAAACTTAAAAAAAAAATAAGTCAGCGAAAGACAAATGCTATATGACCTTACTTAGTGTGGAATCTAAAAATGCCAAACTCATAGAACCAGAGATCAGATTGGCGGCTGCCAGAGGCAGGGGCTGGAGGGTGGGCAAAATGGGTGATGGGGTACAACCTTCCAATTATAAGATACTAGGGATGTAATATACAGCATGGAGACTATAGCTAACAATAGTTATTGCATATTTGAAAGTTGCTAAGAATAGATCTTAAAAATTCTTATCACAAGAAAAGAAATTTGGCCTGGCTGACATGGCTCAGTGGTTGAGCATCTACCTATGAATCAAGAGGTCATGGTTCGATTCCTGGTCAGGACACACGCATCTCCCTCCCTGGGGGCTCCAGGTAAGTTTCTGTGGAGCCAAGACTGTTCATTTAACTGCTTGTGGTCCTGGTAACCAAATCTCTTACTTTCCTCTCTTCTGAGCAATTTGAGTGTTTGTTGACTTCCTTGTTACAAAGAGCATCTACTAAAAGTGAAATACGTTTCTATTTGAAAGAATGGACAGGAAACTACCTACAGGATGTGGGTGCCAGCCTTTGGGGCAGTGGTGGCTGATTGTCAAATCCAGTTGTTCATGTGAAGTTCAAATCTAACTGGGCACCTCATATTTTATCAGGCAGCCAACCCTACTTGGAGCTCTACATGTGGTTGCCAGCCACAGATGCCCAACTCTGGGTCTCTGGGATTTGTGTTTGTTTTTAAAGTGTCTTGAATATGGAGCTAAACAGTTATGATCACATACTTTGCAGAGGTCAATATGGAGTTGAGGGTCCATGAGGACGGCCTGGATATTCACGGAGCACTTCTGGAAATCAAAAGCTGGAAACTCCGAGTCAGGAAGTGGGGTCAGGATTTCAAGGATCCCCAGGTCACTGAACATCAGGGCTGCCTGTGGGGACCAGATGTTTTGGTGTGGAAGCTGGAAAAAAAAAGTGATTCTGAAATCAGTTCATTCTAATTCTTTTTTTGGGATTTAAATTTTGTCTTACGATTTGGGTTTAAAGAAGGTAGACCAAACAAACAAACAGCAAGTTATAGGTACACTTTCTTTTTTTTTTTTTTTAGGTACGCTTTCTTTAGACACCTACTCAAGTTTTACTCATCCCTTGTGTTTAAATCAATAATGAAAACTGTTTCCTATCAGAGAGGCTACCCATGGAATTTCTTAATAGGTCATGGACCTGCTTGGAGAGTTGGAAAAGCCACGGGATCTCTCCCCAGAAAACGCTGGTCATCAGAATGTCAGGGTTAAGGCTTCACAGAGACAGTTCTGGTGCTAATGCCCCACACCAGTGATCCTGTCCTACTTCCACTGTCAGGAGCTTTCAGGACATATGTGGCTGTAGATGTAGCAGGAAAAACACTGAAGTAGCAGTTGGCACAGCTGGGGGACTTTTCTGGTTCAGTTGCGAGGAAGTTACGTGACCTTAGGAGAGAGAGGGACTTGAACTTCAGATTCTCCCTGTAAAAGTTGAATGATATTGACACCTTCGCAGGGTTGTTGTGAGGATGAAATAAAATTAGATAAGCATAATGTACAAGATACTGTGAGATATTCCAGCATCAACACTTCATACCTCTGTAACCTTGGATAAATGACTTTCCTTCTCTGTGCCTCAGTTTGACCATCTGTCCAATGGGAACAATTTAAGAGTCTACCTCTTAAGATGATGGTCAAGGTTAAATGAGGTTAATAGTCAGAAGATGGTTAGACCAGCACCTGCCATATTCTAAGTACTCAGTAAGTTTTAGCAGTCATTGCTATTATTTTAATAACTATAAAAATTACTATTACTACTAAAATTATTAAGTTAATGTTACTAATTTAGTATTAATTAAAATTATTGTTATTACTTTTGCTATTAAAATATTGTTACTATTTTAATAACCAGAGCAATTTCTAGCCTCCAGTAAGAGTACTGGAGCCCTAGCCGGTTTGGCTGAGAGGGCAGAGAGTTGGCTTTCGGACCAAAGGGTCCCGGGTTTGATTCCGGTCAAGGGCACATACCTTGGTTGCAGGCTCCTCCCGGCCCTGGTCTGGCTCATGCAGTAGGCAACCAATTGGTGTCTCTCACACCGATGTTTCTCTCTGTCTTTCCCTCTCTCTTCCACTCTCTCTAAAATCAATGGAAAAATAACTTCGGGCGAAGATTAACAAAACAACAAAAACGAGTATTGGAAGTTTGAGAACAAAGCCGGGAGTAACCTTAACTTTGATTTTACCTACTTTGACTATTACACTTGTCAGGATTCCCAGGCTGCCATAATACAAACTATCCTCCCGAGTTAAGACTGCCAGTCCATTCTCATCTAGAAAACAAACAAATCAGACAGAACATTGAAATGAGGCTCCTTTCGCCCTAGTCAGTTTGGCTCAGTGGATAGAGTGTTTGCCTTCAGACTAAAGGGTCCCAGGTTCAATTCCAGTCAAGGGCACATGCCTGGGTTGCGGGCTCGATCCCCAGTGGGGGGTGTGCAGGAGGCAGCCGATCAATGATTCTCTCTCATCATTGATGTTTCTGTCTCTCTCTCCTTCTCCCTTTCTCTCTGAAATCAATAAAGAAATATATTTTTAAAAAATCAATGGAAAATACATCCTTGGGTGAGGATTAACAACAATAAAACAACCGAGGGAGTTTTCAGAAGAAGCAAGTCTTTAGCTGAGCCTTGAAAAAAGCTTCTGATGTAGAAAAGTGAGGTGTGTTTGCAGGGGAAGGACCAGCGGGTTTCTCGACCTCAGCTCCATTGTTGTCTGTGGTGGGGGTGTACTGTGCATTGTGTGATGTTGGGTAGCAGCCCTGGCCTCCATCCAGAAGATACCAGGCACACCCCCCCGCCCCGAGTCATGACAACCATCCCCATGCACCGCCCGGTGTCCCCAGGGTGGGAACCATGGGTTAGGTGAACAAAAGGGATCCCTTAGGGCAGTGTGGGCAGTCAGATGAGATACAACACATACAGACCTGAATGTCATTTTTGCGAATTTGAATATTATTCTTTAGAACATCTTAAAGATTCTAGACATGGGAAATGATGTGTACTTAATATTTTTTTATAGGAGTGGGAAGACAAGCCATTGACTGGGAGAAAATATTTGCAGAGCCTATTTTTGATAAGGGACTTGCATCGAGAATATATAAAAAACACTTGCAACTCAACCATAAAAAGGCAAACAGCCCAATTAAAACATGACCAAGGCCCTAAAGGGACAGTTCAGCTAGAAAGCTACCCGCAGGTTGGGCACGCACTCGCAGCCACACAGTGGATGGTGATACCGGCATCCAAAACGGAGGAATACAAGGTAGCAGGTCCTTCTTGCACCTGGACAGGGAAGACGAGCTGACCTACGAGACAACAGGGCAGAATCATGAGATCTGGGCACGTGTTGGAAGGGGGAGTCCACTGGTGAAATGATAAAGATTCAACAAAAATATAATACTGAGATGCGATGCCGTAAAACACCCTCCGGAATGGACGTGGGTTTCAGGAAACTGCTTCCCCGCCTGGAAGCTGGACCCCCACAGAACGCTCATTCAGGTAACAGGTATTAGGAAAAAGAGCCCTTTCTTCCTGGAATGGGCTCTCAAATGGGCAGCCCGAGCCCCTTTCTTGCTGAGGAACACAGGGCTCAGGTAGCCTGGCTGGCGCTGGGTAGCTGACTGTGATTGTGGGCGCTCTTGCGACCACACCTGTGCCCAGAGGTTCCTGACAGCCCCTTTTCAGGGAGGGCTGCCTTTTGCTCCGCGGCTGTGCCAGCTGGCGGGCTGGGGCTCCAGGGCCTGGGCACTTCCAGGGTCCCTCACCAGGCCACCTACAGGTGCTGTGCCACTTCCAGATTCCTTTCTCGCCCAAGGGAAGCTCAAGTAAGTGGTCCTGACACATCTCCTAGAATCCCTAACCTCAGCCCCCAAACAACGCCTGCAGTTCCTGGACTGAAGGCGTGGACCTCTGCCCTCGGCATCTGCTGACTTTCAAAACCTGCTGCCTGTGTGTCCCTGAAGGTCCCACAAGGGAGGGGGTGGGGGGGAGCGAAATGTGGTTAGGAGGTATGTGGTAAAGGGGAACATGGGCCCCTTCCCATGAGACCTTGGGAGCCTGGCCAGCTCCTCAGTCAAGAAAACAGCCAGCAGTTTTGAGTTCACACAGCTAATGCTGAGAAACATCCCCCTTCCCCTGCCGGCCCCGGTTTCCTCTCTTTTCTGTTCTTTATAAAACCTTGTGTTGGGAAAGTCTGGGTGGCTGGAAACAATAGGTAGTAGCCCATCTGCAGGCCAGATGGGACTTGGCAGTTCAACTCCACCGGTGGCAGGTGGTGTGGCGTTCACTGGGCCACATGTAAGACCCAATAAACCCATCGCTCCCACAGCCTGCCCTCTGGGTAATTTCTTTGAGAATCCAAGAACCATACCTTGAGGTGTTCTGGGACCTCAGCACTTTGCATAACAGGCGGCAAAGTGAGCATGGGTTCCACTCAAGTCAGGGGAGAGAAAATAATGGCGTGTGCTTCCCCCACTTGGAGGGGGACCCTGAGTGGCAGCCCTGAGCCGGCCGCTCACCTGAATTTCGGGAAACTAGCAGGCTCTTCTCGAACCAGAAGATCAGAATGCCTTTCTGGCCGGGGACGATGAGGACATCAAGGGTGCCATTGTAGTCAAAGGGCAGCCCAAAACTGCGGTCCAGAGGGTGGTCCGAGTACCCAAACTTGGCCTGAGAAAGACATTCCAGGTCAGTGATTACAGAGTGGCAGCAGGTGTAGGTCCTCCTGCTTCATTATTCAAATTTCCTTCAAGCTGGCTTAGCTGTCCCAGCACCTCTCAGCAGAGGATGGTTCTGCCCCCGGAGGGCACCTGGCATGCCAGGGGATGTCTGTGGTTGTCACACTGGGGGTGCTCCTGGCATAGTGAATGGGAGCTCAACACCCCGTAGTGCACAGGACAGCTTCTCACAACAAAGAACTATTCACCGGAAGTGTCCACAGTGCAAGACTGAAGTGCCTACACTCCCTCAGTCCCTGCTCGCCCTTGCTCCTGAATTATTCAAATTCCTTTCCTCCTCCAACCCACCTGTGTGCACACCCCAGATTCTTTTCCTAACAGCCTCCTTCATCAAGCCACTCGCACCTTGCGACCCTCTAAGGGCCGGCTCCGGCGTCTGGTCTAAATTGTTTGGCATGGGAGACCACGCCCAAGTCCCCCAGTGAGCACGCGCAGTGGCGCGGGGCGTGGCAGCGCTTCACGCTCCTCTGGGGACCGAGCGGAGCCGTGCTTTTAAGCTCAGCGACCTTCTCTCTGATATCTCAGCCGCCTGGCCTGAAGCGAAGCTGTCTTGCCTGGGAAGAGAGTGGTCACGGTGTCTCGTGGTAACAAAGCTTAGGACGAGGAGAACCTACAGGAGAAAGGACGTCCTCCGGTGTCTCCCAACAGGATAAAGCGGCATCTGTCATGCAAATACCGCCCTGTGCAGAAGTGAGGGAAGACTGCTGCAGAAGTGAATACAGGCAACATCTTTGATCCCAGGGCACAGGCCTTTGAGAAGAAATCTCCAAGCCTCTCGTAGAGGCATTAGAAGGCTATCCAGGCAGCCAAAGTACCTCATGATCATGGTTGATAAAAACCAGGAGATCTGTGGCATCCATTTCCCTTTTCCCTTCACACCCTATTCCATCCAGAAAGACTTCATGACAGGTGTTGGAGGATGGCAAGATTGGGATATTTGAGAGTCCAACTGGCGCTGGAGAGTGGAAGAGAGAGGGAAAGCCAGAGAGAAACATGGATGTGAAAGAAACACATTGATTGGTTGCCTCCTGAACCAGCCCTGACCAGGGCCCAGGCCTGGGAGGAGATTGCAACCAAGAGATATTTAGAGCTATGGAAGTTTCCTCAGAGAACTCTAAAGGGGAGTTGAGCCAGTATATCTCAAAAGAAGACATCTAGAAATTTATGATGGCACTCGAAGTTGGAGGTCAGGAGACAAAGCGAGAACTGGAGAAGGCATTCACTGTGGTCCTAATGGCTCTGGGTCACATTTTCCAGATATGATCATTGTCAAGCTACGGGACAGACCGAATATACACTGTCTGCCCCCAAGGAGCCTCATGGTTGCAGTGGGGAAGATCATCCTTTCCCAAGTATTCTACGGATTAGTTCAGGGGTGGGCAAACTTTTTGACTCGAGGGCCATAATGGGTTCTTGAACTGGACCGGAGGGCCGGAACAAAAGCATGGATGGAGTGTTTGTGTGAACTAATATAAATTCAAAGTAAACATCATTACATAAAAGGGCACGGTCTTTTTTTTTTTAGTTTTATTCATTTCAAACGGGCCGAATCCGGCCCGCGGGCCGTAGTCTGCCCACGGCTGGATTAGTCGTCAGTGCCCAGAAACATCTGGATTCCTGGGATGATAAGGTGATGGGCTTTAGTCCAAGGGAAATGTCCATGAAGGCATACATCACCTTCCGCATCTTCTTCAACCATTGGTCTTTGAAGAGCAAGGACAAGGCACAGGTGACAGAGCAGGTTCTGCAGATAATGGGCCACCTTTTCTTCCTTATGCCACCATCCAAACTCAAGAACCAAGTGAACCGGTTAACACGATGGTTAATGATTTTGATGTCCATGAAAGTGACACCTTTCTACATTTCTCAGTGCATATCTGCCAACTGGTGAATGCTCTGGCGCTCAGCAGCTGTGGAGGTATAAACTTGGAATCCCAGCTGGAAAACATTACAGGCATGCTGTTCCAGCAGCTTTGTGAATGAGTGAACCCAGCAGACCCTCACTCTGTGGAGAACTGCAGCCTCGCCCTGAGGGCTTTCTTCATCCTGGCCAAGTTATACCAGGATCAGATGGTATCCCTCCAGTGATCCAGCCAAGATGGAATCAACCCTTCAAGTGTTCACAGATGTGTTCCAGGAATTGCCTCAGACCGAGAGGCTGCAGCGCATGGTACTGAATTCAACCATTATGGTGATTCAGGAGGACCTCAAACCAGTGCCGAAGGTCCTCGTGCACTTCATTGAGATGCTGGATCAGCATAACTGCTTGGCCTTGCCCCAGGGGAACACTATAATCAGCTATATCATCAAGCTTGTGGAGCCTGACTCATCAAATGAAGAGGACATCCGAATAATGTGTTCCAGAATCCTACAGATGGTATCTTTGCCCAAACTGGTCACGTTGGTGTGTGAGCCCAACAACACGTTGGCCTTTGTGCCTCTGTGTAAGGCAGCCACACAAATGGCTCTGAAGGCCCGTTCCCTGGGCCAGGTTCCTTACCTCAGCAGCTTTCACCAGGATCCTACCGAATACATTTCCCCTCAGAGACTCCTGACCCATCTTGTGATGTGTTCCCGGAAGCCCTACAGGGAAAAGGAGTTTGGTACAAGCTCTCTGAGGCTACTATCTGCCCTGCATCCTATCACTTCTCTGCGTCCTGTTAGAAACCACAGTGTTGGCCAGCTGTGGAGGAAGGTGATCCCACAGATGTTGGAGATACTAGATGATCATACTGAGAAGAGCCTGAATCAGGAGGAGTGGGAGGACAGGCTGTTCCAGTTTTTGAGTAAGTCATTAGTGGCTATTGATGATGACCGCTGGCAGGAGCAACTCATCAGAGTCATCTTGGAGAGGATGCGTTATTTCAGTGATGATGGTGATGAGAAGGCTTTTCTCTATAAATTCTTTGGCTTCGCCCTGTGGACCTCAAGAAGTGAGAAACTTGCCCTAGCCGGTCTGGCTCAGTGGATAGAGCGTTGGCCTGCAGACTGAAGGGTCCCAGGTTCGATTCCGGCCAAGGGCACATGCCTGGGTTGTGGGCTCAATCCCCAGTGGGGGTGTGCAGGAGGCAGCTGATCAATGATTCTCTCTCATCATTGATGTTTCTATCTCTCTCTCCTTCTCCCTTCCTCTCTGAAACCAATAAAGAAATTAAAAAATAATAATAATAATAATAAAAATAAAAAAAAAGAAGTGAGAAACTGGTGAAGATGATGCTCTCGGCATCCTTCAAACTTCCCATGAAAACCTGCAGGAGAGGGAGGGCATTGCTGTGGCATTCAGCATCGTGTCCAAGAAACATCTGAAGACAGTCCTGGAGCAACTGCAAGTGTATAGTGCTGTACTCACTGACAAGGAGTCATCGTCCATCCTCACACTGGCAAAGGAACGTCAGCGAAGGGAATGGGTGCTTGTCTGTAACACCATCTACTTAAGCTATAGCAAGATTATTTTAGAGAGCAAGGGAGATATTTTCATGCATTTCGATGCCATGCTGGTCTTGATCCTGCAACACTACCACAACTGCATTTTGGAAAAGGATAAGGGCCTGAAGCTGGATTACCTGAATGCCCTCATCATACTGACAAAAACCCTGGGCAGTCAGCAGCACGTGGCCTTTCTATTCAAGTTCCCCCACAAGCTAGCAATTGTTACCTTCATGGTGGACCTAATCAAGGAGGAGCCATTGAACTCCATTTCCAGCCCTATTAGACAGAAGGCAATGAACATCATCAATAACTTCAGGATGCTCAGGCCCCTCTTAGAGATAGAAGAGTAGAGTAGAGCTCCTGGGAACATGCTTCAGGAGTGTGTTCTGCCTGCCATCCATAGAAGTGTTACAAAAGGAGGCATCTAGTCCCAAGAAGGGCCAGGCCAATGTGGATCTGTCTGCAATCCCTCCTCAGACTAATGGAGACACTTATTGTTGAGATGCCCACCCGGATCCAGAACTGCTTGTAGCTTATGGATCCTTGGCTTACTTCCCAGAAGGATACGAGTGGGAACGGGCCATGTGGTGTGCTGCACGTATTCTGGAGTTTACAGCAAAAATGGAGGACTTCAATGCCTTTGCAGAGTACTTCACCCAGAGCCAGCTCACCAACCTGGTGCTGACAGCTATGGAGGAGCTGACGGGCAGCAGGGCTAAGGTGTCTCTGGCTGCAGCCCAGTTGATGAGCGCTGTCATGAAAAAGCGGGGCACAGATTTGATAAAGGTTGAGGAAATCGTGGCGGGCATCCTGGAACGGCTCAAACTGCAGCTGGAGACCAACACAAAGGAGGAGACCCTTCAGGCCCTGTGCTTGCTGGCAGGCAACAGCACCCACAGTGTTGTGCCCCTGCTGCTCAACAGGCCCCTCCCTTGGGATAGAACCATTCTGGCCCCGTGTAAGGTGTTCGGCACCGAGCGAAAGACCACAATCAAGGTCCTGCAGCTGCTGATAGGAATCCTGGAAAACCACTCCACAGAGGGCACGATGAAGATAGCCCTGCAGCCCGTGGAGGCGGCGTGTGCCTTGTGTGAGATGCTATCTGGGTCTCTGTGCCGGGAGGCCATCCTGGAACTCTACCCCCGGCTATTGCTGGCTCTGCTGTCATCTCTTCTGGGTGATTGAGCAAAATACCCCCCAGAAGATGGTGGTCTACAGGAAGGATGGGGGCTCAGGCAAGACCTTTGACTCCACTAGTTGTGCCCTGGAGGTGGTGAAGCTTGTGTTGTTTGCAGCCGCATATGATGGAGTGGTGGTCTATGCAGATGAGCATAAGTGCTGGGATCATCTGTCCTCCTCTAAATGTTACTACAGAGGGGTCATGGACCTGACACGTGGCATTGTGAAGAACTGGGAAGTAGTCATGCTGCACCGAGTTCTGAACCTTGCCAAGACCTTCCTTGACAGCGGAGATCATCATCAGAAATCTTGGCCAGGACCATCTATGCCCAGCTTCTCTGGCATTGATCAGTGGCTCAGACTCTGGGACAAGACTTTGTGGGCAATCTAATCAAGTGGACCAAGGAGCCGAACCTCATCATGAAAGAAATTGGACTCCGTGGAATCAGTAACCTGGCACTGCATCCAACTCAATCAGAGTCTGTGAAGAGCCTTTTTCCATCCTTGCGAGCCTTCCTGAAGAGTGAGGCATGAGTGACAGTTCAGGCAGTGAAGGCCCTACAGGACATCGTTGTACATGGGCATGGAGAAGAGGTCAAGGCGATGTTCTGCAGCATCTCCAAGCATCTGTGTCCACTCATCAATGATAAGAGGGACCAGGTGAGGATCACAGCCATCTCTGCCCTTGGGCACATGCTACATAGAGTCAACAAATTCAAGCCTGGATATGCCATCAAGAAACATCTGTACATTTTTTTAGTCCCGCTGCTGCTTAGCTTAGAGGACAACAACACAGAGGTGGTCAAGGCCTGTGGAGCAGCCCTGACTGAGTGGACTAATGTGATTGGCTGGTCATCCTTCACACAGATGTTTCAACATACCACCCTCAGTGATCAGATGCAGGTGTTGGAAGAAACATGCAATCACTTGGTGAATACATGCAAAAGACAATTAGTGGGGGAGTTACTGTTTCAGAGCTTCAGTTTCCTGAAGAGCTCCGAGTCCTTCCTACGGACAGCTGCAGTCCATTTCATAGCATTAATAGCTGAGAAGATAAACCTGCATTCCATACATGAGGATGATGTGCAGCTGTTAGGAAATGCTCTTGAAAGTATGAAGAATGATCCTGTAGAATCTATCTAGATTCTGGTGACTACTCTTCTTCAAAATATTGAGGAATATGTTAAACCTGAGGACAGCTCTAGTTCCATTATAAGTACTCGCTTCTTCCGATTACGTGGCAGGAAAGACCGAAAAAGAAAGAGGCACCAGCCGTAACCGGTTTAGCTCAGTGGATAGAGCGTCGGCCTGCAGACTGAAAGGTCCCAGGTTCGATTCCGGTCAAGGGCATGTACCTTGGTTGCGGGCACATCCCCAGTGGGGGGTGTGCAGGAGGCAGCTGATCGATGTTTCTCTCTCATCGATGTTTCTAATTCTCTATCCCTCTCCCTTCCTCTCTGTAAAAAATCAATAAAATATATTTAAAAAAAAAAAAAGAAAGAGGCACCTATTTAAGACTGTCAGACGGGAAGGAGATAATGATGCTGATCGGCCCAGGAATTGGCTCCTAGGCCCTCTAAATTTACTGTGCAACTGGTGCAAGGGAGGGTAAAAAATACTCCCCTTATAATAGACAACTTAGAAAAGTCAACACAGTCACAAGCACCAAAGTCTGAAAGTCCCCCTGAGGAATCTGAATTGATCCCAAAACAAGTTGCTCCTGAGTCACTGTGAACATTTAGAACTGGTGGCTAAAGCCTTTTCCAGTTGTTTATTCAGATGTCAGTGCTGGACTCTGCCGTAGTCTCTCCCACCTTTTTTCCAAGCATCTGTGTCCACTCATCAATGATAAGAGGGACCAGGTGAGGATCACAGCCATCTCTGCCCTTGGGCACATGCTACATAGAGTCAACAAATTCAAGCCTGGATATGCCATCAAGAAACATCTGTACAGTTTTTTAGTCCCGCTGCTGCTTAGCTTAGAGGACAACAACACAGAGGTGGTCAAGGCCTGTGGAGCAGCCCTGACTGAGTGGACTAATGTGATTGGCTGGTCATCCTTCACACAGATGTTTCAACATACCACCCTCAGTGGGTGGGCGACTTTGGCTTAACCCCAAATAGGTAGTTTGATCTTAGAAGATATAGTATATTCCTTGTTCTTTATCTCCCCTAGGGTATTGTTAGCTATCAGTATATACATTTGTAAATAAACGTTATTTTTTCATCCTAAAAAAATAAATAAATAAAAATAAATTGTTTGGCATGGTCGTCAAAGTTCTCTTATTTGCTCTTTATGAGACTCCTGACAGCACTGTGCAAGGATGCAATTTTTAAGAAACACTGTCACTGGTTCATAAGTGAGTCCCACCAACGCAGCTGTGGCCCCTCCCAGATGTTGGTGGAGAGGAGGGGGAGACTCCTGGCTTGTTTTCTAAGGGCCTCCTGGGAAGAGAACTACGTGCTCAGGGTGAGGACCCAGGTGCACAGGCTGCTGAACTTGACTGTCCCGCCCTCTCCCCCCCCCTTGTGGGCACCCGACAGGCCCGTCTGCAGGAGGTGCCTAAGGGACCGTGAGTGTGAGTTCTCATCCCCCAGCTCAATCCCTGTGTTGTGAATTGGCTGGCCTCGGTTCCCAGGTATTAGAATTGCTCAGCTGAGCTGCCCGTGTAGGCAACAAGGCAAACCTTGAAGAGTTCGAATTGCAGTGGGGTCAACCAGAGAACAGGCCAGAGGAAGCAATCAGCCCTTGGTCTGAGAACAGGCCAGAGGAAGCCATTGCCCACGAAGGGCAGCCGGGGGGAGGGTCTGCTGGATCAGCGCAGGTGAGGGGCACCTCTCACTGCCTCCGCTGGGAGCCCACAAAAGGCCCCTGAAGATGTATATACACGCCCAGGGCGGGAGAGGGGAGAGGGCCTAGGCTAGCAGCCAATAGAGAGGTACTGAGTGCAGAGTCAGAGTGGAGAAAAGTGTCAGCGAGGTTTTCTCCTCTTTCCTCCATAGGGAGGCTCCTGAAGCTAAAGTCCTAGGAATGAAGGCTGCCCACAGGGGCCTGGGACAATTGCAAGTCCTTCAGAGCCTGCAGAGCATCATCCTGCCCTAAGTCTGGACTGAGGAGGGCAGCATCCCCGGGGGCCTGCCAGGTAAAGCTTCCTGATGGCCTGTGGTCAGACCTGAGAATCACCCATAGGCGGTAACCAGGAGTTGGACTCCGCAGCCACTAAATTCTTGGCATTTTCTGGGTAGTGGGAGTGTCTCTGTAAATCCGGGCAGCTCCTTATGCTAATGAGGGGACTCTGGATGGGGCTGGACCAATCTCGTGTTAGAGTAGTGGTTCTCAACCTTCCTAATGCCGAAATCCTTTAATACAGTTCCTCATGTTGTGGTGACCCCCAATTTCGTTGTTACAAATTGAACATAATTAAAGCATAGTGATTAATCACAAAAACAATATGTAATTATATATGTGTTTTCCGATGGTCTTAGGCGACCCCTGTGAAAGGGTCATTCGACCCCCAAAGGGGTCTCGACCCACAGGTTGAGAACCACTGTGTTATAGGGTGGGGCTTTCAGCCTTTGGACATCAGCCCAAGCTCCTGAGGCTTCCCGAGAGGAGGTCTCCCTCAAACTTCAGAGCTGCACATCCGGTTCACAATTTTTGCAATACCAGGTCCTGACTGTACTTAATCCCTTTCCGATTTGATATTTTATCTTCTGATGCAGTTTAAATGGGGGGGCTGGGGGGAGGTGGAAGGGTGTGTGGATGAATGGGTATCTGGATGAAAGGTAGGTAGATGGATGGGTGGGTAGATGGACTGGTAAGTAGGTAAATGGATGGATAGATAGATGGATGGATGGATATGTGAATGGATGAACTGTTAGGTAGATGGATAGGTGAATGAAAAACTAGATGGATTTCAGCCCTAGCCAGTTTGGCTCAGTGGGTAGAGCGTTGGTGGACTGAAGGGTCCTGGTTCGATTCTGGTCCAGGGCATGTACCTCGGTTCAGGCTCCTCCAGGAGACAACCAATCGATGTGTTTCTCTCACAGCGATATTTCTGTCTGTACCTCTCTCTTCCACTCTCTCTAAAAATCAATTGAAAAATATCCTCAGGTGAGGATTTTAAAAAAAAGCTAGACAGATTTCAGATATGAAAATCCAAGTGTGTGACATTTAATAAAACCCTGGCTTGGGGCAAAGATCACTTCAAGTCATTCTTCCCAGGCCAAGTGACTCACCTGCCCTTGCTCAATGACAAGCAGCGCAGCCTGTGACAAGGAGTGAAAGTAGAAGATCCCACCCAAAGACCGCAATATTTCTGACTGTGAAACAAACAAAAAAAAACACATTGTGTATGAATAAATTGTAAGCATGTGTTTAATTCTAAATGTAACTTTAGGGCATCCAATGAGCTAAAATGAACAATTTTTAAAAATGATGATCTATTTATTCTCTATGAAATGTAGCTTGTAAGCAGAACCTCGAGTGGAGACAGCTCGTGCTGGGCAGACTTTTGCCCTTGCTTAGTGTCTGTATTTGGAGATTCTGGTTGAAGGAGATGTGGATGGGTGTCAGACTGACTGCTAGATGCATGCCTAAATCCTTCCTTTCTGCCTCGGTTCCTCACTCCTGGTGTTCGGCTGGTCAGCAGAGTGCTCAGCAGCCACACTGGAGCACAAAGCCAAGCTGACATCTTTCAGGTCAGAGAGAGACGACTATCTTAATTACGCCTCTGTTTTTTGGGGAGGTTCTATAAAATATACAGTGCTTTGGACTGAATTGTGCGCCCTCCCCTCCCAAATTCATTGCTCAAAACCCTAACCCTTTGTCTTAGTCCAATCAGGCTGCTGTGACAAAATGCCACAGACTGGGTGGCTTATACACAATAGAAATTTACATCTCACAGCTCAGGAGGCTGGAAGTCTAAGACCAAGGTGCCAGCGTGGCCAAGCGAGGGCCTCCTCTGGGTCAGACTTCTTGCTCTGTCCTCACCAGGCAAAGGGGGCCAGCAGGCTCTCTGGGGCCTCTGGTGTGAGAGCACTTATCCGATACCGTTCTCATCTATAAAACCAGGGTCATAAGAGTACTGATCTTCGGGTGGGCATGGGGTTAAATATCATAATTAATGTGCAGCTTCTACTTTGGCACTAGTTTTCATAAGCACTCCATAAACGTGCTATCATCTAAAACCTCTTGTCTCCTTTCCTAACTTCTTAATCTCCCTGGCCATGTCCCATGACCTGGAATTTTCCCTACCCTCCCAAGAGACAGAAGCCCTGGTTCACTCACTGCGCGCTAATTACTCCAATCACACACGAGACATTTATCTTTTTTGGTTCACTTTCTTATGCAAATGCACATACCTGTGTAACAGAGGCATACTCCATAAATTTGTATGCCCAGCGATCGGAGAAATATATATTGGTCTTAGATAGCTCGTCTCCACGCAAATAGGCAAAAATCAAATTACTTACATCCTGGAAGAACATACACAGAACAGTCTTTTTAAAAGGAGATTTGAGGGGTGGGGATGGGGAGATGCTGTTGAAGGTCACAAACTTGCAGCCAGTAGCTACATGCTCCTGCAGATCTAATGCCCAGCAATGCTATACTGTAAGCTTCAAAGGTGCTAAGAAACCGGATCTTAAAGGTTCCCACCACAAAAAAAGAAAAAGAAAAAAAGAAATGGCAATGATGTGCCATGATGCAGGTAACCCTTCAGTGGTCGTCATATTGCAATATATAAATGTATCAGATCATCACATTGTACACCTACACTTACAATGTTATGTCAATTATATCTCAGTAACAAAGGGAGATTGATGCCAAGGGTAAAACTCCTGGGCAATTACCCCAGAAAAATTAAAACATATGCACATACAAAAATCTGTACATAAGTGGGTATAGCAGTTTTTACAATAGCCCAAAAGTGGAGGCAACCAAATTCTGGTACATTCAGACCATGGAATATTACTTGACAATGAATAGGGAAAGTCTAAAGATATAGACAACAAATTGGATGAGTCTCTAGAGAATTTAGCTGACAACAGCTGGTCCTCAAAGGTCCCATATTGTACGGTTCCGTTTATATAACATCCGTGAGGTGGTAAAATTATAGAGGTGGGGAACAGATTAGTGGTTGTCAGGGGTTGGGGTGGGATGGGGGCAGGGAGCTGTGGAGCTCTGGGATGACAGAATAGACAGTCTGGTATTTCAATGGCAGGAATGGTCCTGTGCTGTGGCAATGTGATAAAATGCTAGAGTTACACATACTTTGTATCTATGTCAATACTAGTTTTAGTATGATACTGCAGTTATGTAAGATGTAACCATTGGAGGAAGATATAGAAAGGGTACATGGGACTCTGTATGATCTTTTCAACTTACTGGAGAGTCTATAATTATTTTAAAATAACAAATTAAAAAAAAAGGAAGGTAGATGGATATATTCTTAGTGAACTAGCCAGTTGATCTGAAAGTAGCTCCAGAGCCCCTCTCAACCTCTTAGGTTGTCGTGTGAGCCCTGGGGAAATGACATTGCCCAAGTCCAAAGGCCCAACTCCCAAGGGTTTGCCTGTTCGTATTTCCATCTGTGCTCAGAGCAAAGTGAAAAAACAATACCCTGTACTCACCAAGCAAAAGGGATGCCTACTGTAGCAACAGTTGTCACCAGAAATATGTGAAACAGGGTGATATATGCCTGAAAGGAAAAGATCATTTGGAAACTATATGAGTTATCTGAAGGTCAGAGAAAAGGTTTAGACACTGTTAAAGATTTTGCTTACTTTGGTCCAGTCGCCAATTTAAATGGAGACTGACCTTGTATGTACATATACATTGAAAGGGCGAGGACTACGCCCTCCATCTTGCCCCGTATCCTCCATGGGGGGGCAGCAGCCATGTGCTACCTTCTTCCCGGAAGTCTAAGCTTCTGCTAGCCACACCCAGGAACAAGACACCAACTTGCGCCTGGCCAATCGGCAGGGCCCACAGTCCCCTCTCCTACCCTGACTCCACCCCCTATTAAAACCCTGTTTTTTCCCACGGTGGTCACTCTCTCTGCTTCAAGGTGGGGGAGTCAAGCTAGCTCGAATAAAGGACTCTCTGATTTTGCATTGGACTTGGCTGGCTCCCCTGATGGTCTAATGGGGATCTTGAAATCTGGGCATAACATTTGGGGGCTCGTCCGAGATCCCCAACACCATCGAGGGACCCCCCAGTCTGGAGGGCCTGACTGACCACAGTAGGTGTCTGTGTCGTTGTGTGTTTTGTATCTGTCCTGTGTGAGCTCACTTCTGAAATCTGTATTCGCCCGCAATGATCTTAAGTGTACGCACAGGGGGATCAAGGGCGGGAGGAGTTGGCGGACGCCTCGGCCCTCCATCTGGAGGGGTGTAGTTTTGCTTCCATGGAGTCAGAAGGTCTGTAGGAACCCCCTCAATCTAAGACAGGCGGGTCGCTCCCGCTGGTTGGTGTGCAGCCACTGGTTGGCGCGCAGCCATTGTTTTCGGTTTTTGCTTCCATGGAGTTGGAAGATTGTTTTAGTTTCACTTCCATGGAGTTGGAAGGCTGTTCTTTAGGGCCCTCTTGTTTGTCTGTGTCTGTGTTTTTCTGTTTTCTGTGGACTTACTGGACGGATGTTATGGGACGAACTCAGACTGCTCCTTTGGGTATTGTGATTGATCATTTCAAGGAAATTGGGGAAGGCTGTAAAGCTCCCTCAGGAGTTGGGAAGTTGTTATTGTTTAAACTCTGAATGAATGTCTGGTGAAAATATGCGAGTGTGGAGGGAGGGGGCCTGCCCTCTCCCCTCCTTTGTGTGGCTTCAGGACTTAGGTCAGGTGGGCATCTGAGTAATGATCTGTGAAAACAGGTCATCCCCTTCCCAAGTAAATGCATCCGGGATTTCTGTGCACATGTAAAGGGAAAAGGCCAGTTTAAAAACGAGTGCGCATAGTTTTGAGCTGAACTTGACCTTTTACTGTGTACAGAATAAAAACCCGAGACTGTTTTGGCCTTAAAAATGGCGGAGATGAACCTGACAAAGAAATACAGGCTGTTTCCCAAGGCGATTTAAAGTAGCTCTTTTGAAATTTCCCGCCCTAAGGCAAGTACCACCAGGAAGTTGATAGTCAAGTTTACATGTGAATAGCTATGGATTTGCTTCTTGACTTCCCCAGCAGGAAAATTGTGACCATTTTGAAATTTAGCAGCTGTGCCAGGCTTATTGGCTGGAAACTTAAAACTTTTAAATTCAAATCTTCTAAAAGTATTGAGATTTATAATACTGAAATGTTGATCTAAGTATGCCTAGTATGAAGTCTAGATGATAGAAATTAATCTATTAATTGAAAATGCCTTATATTTTATTTGAAATGTTTCCTTAAATGTAAAATTATTAGATTTCAAAATTTATTCTAGTTAATCAAAAAACTGCTAATATTTGACTTGTAAGCTCTGAAAGTTTAAAGTGCAAACTGAATTGGGAAAAATTAATTAAATATCTAATGTATAACTTGTTTTTGAAAAAATAAAATGTGTTTTCTCTTAAATAATTAGAAATTCAAAATATATTACTCATTGTTCTGATTTAAAAAAAGATTAATTTTAACATCTCAACTGAATTTTTAATACAAAAACCAGTTTAAATTTGATATTCTTTAAGATAATTATAAAAGGTATAAACAGCTAATGAGATTTCTGTTTGTCTGAAATATAATGTTGGCCATCTATCTTTTAGGAATTTTGGTTTGCTCTTCCCTTGTTTACTGTAAAAATAAGGAAATCATCTTTTCTGTCAGAGAACAGTTTAGACAGCCACTCTGAGCTGTGTGACTTGGCAGCCGCCATGTTGTCCGCATGGTTTGCCGCTCCCCTGGGGGCCGCCATCTTGAAACAGTAAAGGCCCCTCCCTCTGACTTAGCCAATCACACAAGGAATGTCTGCTCACTGAGGCAGGATGGGATTTCAGGGGTGGAGCTTTAAGGCAGAGTTTTATGGAGCAGCAAGTGTGCTTGCCTCTCGGATTTATTTTTAAGCTAATCTCTTAAATCTAGAAAACCCTGCTTTCCTTAAACTAAGGACAAAGATTATGTCAAAGTCTTTAAAAGGGACTGATAGCAGTAATCTAATTTCTAAAGTATAATTATTTCAGGTAGAAACTGTGGTTTCATACTGATCTTAAAGGGCATATTCTTCCTTTGCCTGGGAGGGACAGTGCAGCTGTTCCAGGGTCGGGAGAGCTCCAGCTAACTTGCCAACTCAGTGTTCGGGAGACCCAGGATATGCCTAAGTTTAACCTAAGTTCTAGATAATGTGTTTACCCAAAGCTGTGGTTTGGATTGCATGCTGTCTCTGCTTCTGTAAATTGATCTGTCCTTATTGCTTAAATATGTATCTTTGTTGTTTAAAATTGTTTAGTGAAATGTCTATATCTCTTAAAAAAATTTGAATATATTGTTAATCTGAAAAATATTAAATTAATCTGAAGAATATTAATTATTTACATGTCACCTAAACATTAAGACTAAAAGTTCTAACTAACTGGAAAGCATGGCTTTGGTATGATGGAAGGAAAAAAAATGCTGAATAAATAATAGGCCAGTAAGCTGGAACTGGTCACTGGTGGTGGATTGTGAGAAGGGCTGGACATTGCCTAACTTCTCCTTCCTTGGTACCCCTGAAACATCAGAGGGTACTTCTGGCCTTGATTTTATTGGTTTTTGGTTTTGGATTTGTTTGTTTGTTTGTGATGAAAACTGTTTCTATCTAAATAAGACATAGGTCAAGAATCCTGTCCTGGGATGTGGGAAAGAAAGGCCCCCAAATCTGTTCCTGTCAGGCCCCCATCAGGGGACTTGGGTGGTGTTCCTGTTATCTGCTCAAGAGCCCAAGACTCTAAAGATACTTGTTCACTGAAAAGGTGTAAGTATAAATGTTTATTTGATGTTTGTAAACATCTCTGTCTGTTTGTTTGCTGGGAACTTTGATTTGCTATGTGATATTCTGTGCTGGGTTGGGATTTTGGAATTCTGGGGTAAATTTAAAAGGTATTTATGGCGTTTCTAATCTGATTGGGACATTTAAAAGTGGAGCTCACAGTTCCTCAAGGCAAAGATTTAATGGGCCCTTCCCCCTGCCTGTGCTGAATTAGATAATACAGGCCAGTGTCATTTAGCTTGCTGGTTAAAGGAAGACAATGGGCCCTGGAATCTGTAAAGATAGACGGGAATGAAGCTGGTCAAATGTACTGAAAGGGTTTAGTACCTATTGCTGCTAGCAAAGGAGGGGCTGATATCTCCTTCTAGCGCACTCCCTTGAAAGAGGCCCGGTTGCTGCTCTGCCACAAAGGGCACAAGTAACGCAGGTAATAACCAGGGCTATTGGGGCAAATTGAAAATTACATTATGCTTATAGACCCGAGTTCAGGGCAGGTAGAAAGAAACCATGGAAACTGATGGGGACTGGGTGGCTCTCCTATCATGTTTAGCAGGCCACCCCCTATCATTCCTAACCTTAAAGCTGACTTTCTTGCTGCAAGAACTATCTCTTTCCTTGAGAGGGCTCCAGAGGGCGCACGAGGACATTTGGCCGCACCTCGGCGCCACCCAGGAGACCGGCCCAACCCCAACTCCTCATCAGCACAGACCAGGAGATTGGGTCTACGTCAAAAGGCACCGCCTGGAGACCCTGGAGCCACGTTGGAAGGGTCCCTACACCGTGGTGCTGACGACCCCCACCGCTCTCAAGGTAGACGGCATCACGACCTGGGTCCATCACACTCATGTCTGGTCAGTGGACCCATCCGTAATCCGGGAAGACTTTGTCACCAAATGGAGCGTCGATCGAGATCAACGAAACCCGCTCAAGCTCAACCTGCCCGATGCTGGTAACATTAAATAGACTTAAATAATGCTTGTGTCTTCATGGACATGGCTCCAAAAAGACAAGGACAATTCATAAGAAAGTCAGAAATAGACTTTAGTATCACATGTTTAGTAGCAGAAGATTTGGCTGCCTGAAGCGGCCATGATGCCAATATTATGTTTCATTGTATTAATATGTTATATTAACCTTTAATTAATTCTCTTGCAGGTTTGAATGTATATTGGCTGTCCTGGAAGGGAACTTTGTGGGGTGACCCCCAAAAGTAAAGGAATTGGCAAGAAAAGTCAGAAAACCTTAGAGCAGATCAGTATGTTTTTCTCCTTATATAATTCCTCTGAAACCTGGCAATGCTAAATAAGTCATGGCAATACATTACTTTGCATAAATTCAATAATACTGGTTCCTAATAGTGGTTTTATTAACATAAAACTTTGACTGGAGCATCATGTTTTAAAAAGCCCTGTCTGAGCTCTAAAAACTTGAAGCCAGTAAAAATGCCACGAAGAAAGCCTGGTATCCTGCTTGGAAGCCCTGAAAATGGCTGGCGCTGGAGTGTCAAGCCGATGCCCTACCATCACTGACGGTTGGTAAGAGTAGAAGGGGAGCAGTAAAGATGCCTCTGCTTCCCTGCGGAACCCCCACACACTCTGGGCCGCAACAAGTAGGAGGGCTACTGAGATGGGCTTAAAGCCTAGAGCGTGGGCTCAAGTGGAGTTGCTACAGGTGAAGGATTCACCTAACTCAGCAGATACTGCAGGCAGGCCTAATGGCAGCTGGATGGCTTGGCTTCCTGGCCCTACGGGGCACATTAAAATTCAACCATGAGATTCCAGCAAAGGTGGTCGGTTACCATTCTTGTTGTGTTTATGCAAACATCAGGCCACATTGAATACAATAGATAAATTAATCTTAATCTGGCTTTTTAATAGCCATGAAGGAATTTTAAGAAGAAAAATCCTATTTCAATAGAAGTTGTTAAAGCTAAAATGGTTTCTTTCCCTTCCAGCGGACCATTTGTTAAGCGTATAGGGATAGTTCAGTTGATAGTTCTGTGTGCCCACTACGGGCCTCTAGCAACGGTGAAATAGAAATGCAGTCCGTCTCATGATTGAGCCGGAAGTTCCAAGACAAAGGGGGGAATGAAAGGGCGAGGACTACGCCCTCCATCTTGCCCCGTATCCTCCATGTTGGGGCAGCATGTGCTACCTTCTTCCCGGAAGTCTAAGCTTCTGCTAGCCACACCCAGGAACAAGACACCAACTTGCGCCTGGCCAATCGGCAGGGCCCACAGTCCCCTCTCCTACCCTGACTCCACCCCCTATTAAAACCCTGTTTTTTCCCACGGTGGTCACTCTCTCTGCTTCAAGGTGGGGGAGTCAAGCTAGCTCGAATAAAGGACTCTCTGATTTTGCATTGGACTTGGCTGGCTCCCCTGATGGTCTAATGGGGATCTTGAAATCTGGGCATAACATACATAACCCATGGACACAGACAATAGGGTGCTGAAGGCCTAGGGGGGCAGGTACCAGTGGCAGGCTGGATGGGGTCAATGGGAGAAAAATGGGGATACATGTAATACTTTCAACAATAAAGAATTATTAAAACAAACAAACAAACAAACAAAAAACCAAATGGAGACGCAGCCAAAAAATCAGGACAAGGCTAAGTAACCTGCTATTGACATGTGGGGCCAGATGGCTCCTGACTTTGGGGTCGTCCTGTGCCTGTGGGACGTTTTGCAGTACCCCTGCCTTTAATGACGCAATGCCAGCAGTACCTTCCTCCGGTGTGGACAACCAAAAATAACCTCCCCACACTGCCAAAATGTCATCTAGGGGGCAGAACTGTCCCCAGTTGAGAATCATACACTCTTTTAGGACTGTATGCCAAAACTGCAGGAAGAACTCCCTTCTCTTATCGAGGTGTTCTTTGATTTCATTTTCAGTGCAGAAACTTTGGCTTGAAATGAAACAAAAAACAACCAGTGTTGGTGTGAAGGTGAAGAAAATGGAACTTTTGTACCCTGTTGGGAATGGGAATGGTGCAGGACTGGCAAACAGTATGGAGTTTCCTCAAAGAATCTGAAAATGGAATGACCACATCATGACTACAGAAGAGAGAACAACTTTCACATAGACCAGTGGTCGGCAAACTCATTAGTCAACAGAGCCAAATATCAACAGTACTTCTTCAAAATAGACTCGCCCAGGCTGAAAACCGACTTCTGTGCATGGGCCACGAAGTTTCAATCGCACTGTACATGCACGCCCGCTCGTGGTATTTGTGGAAGAGCCACACTCAAGGGGCCAATGAGCCACATGTGGCTCTCGAGCCTCAGTTTGCCAACCACTGACATAGACAATGAAGAAAGACATTGCTAAAGATTTTGCTTACTTTGCTTCAGTCACCAATTCAAATGGAGACTGCAGCCAAGAACTCAGGAGAAGGCTGAGACTCAGAAGGGCAGCAATAGAAGAATTAGGAAAGATCACCAAGAGCAAAGCTGTGCCATTAGAGACCAAGGTCTCTAAGATCATCCACACCCTGGTATTCCCAATTACTATGCCCGGATGTGAAAGTTGGACAGTGAAGAAGGCTGACAGAAAGATTGATTCATTTGAAATATGGAGCTGGAGGAGAGGTCTGCAGATACTCTGGACTGCCAGGAAGACAGGCATGTGGGCCCTAGTGTAAATTAAGCCAGACACATCGCTGGAGGCAGAAGTGACCAAACTGAAGCTGTTCTACTTCAGGCACATCATGAGAAGGCAGGACTCTTTGGAAACCACATAATGCTGGGGAAAAGAAAAGGCAGCCGTAAAAGAGGAAGACAAAATATAAGATGGAGTTATTCTGTAAAAGAAGCCACAGACATGAGTCCACAAGAGCCGGGCAGTGCTGCTGGAAGAAGGGCAGAGTGGACATCACTCAGAGTGTTGCCAGGAATCAGAGCCAATCCAATTCCACTTCTGGGTGTATACAAAAAAAAATTTTAAAGTTAAAAGCATGGACTCAGGAAGATATTTGTACACGTGTGCTCACGCACACGTTCAAACAGTGTTGTTCACAATAGCTAAAGCACAGAAGCAACCCAAGTGTCCATTGGCAGATGATTGTACAAAATGTGGTCTATCTATACCATGGAATGTTGTCACCAAGCATCTAGAAGTCATTTTTGCCCAAGGTTTCTCTGGCTTATAACTACAATCTGCAGTGAATGGGGGTTCAGCCCAACTTCCATTTGAATTTTAAAGGACAAGGTAACATTCAGGGACAGACATCCAAAGAGCAGTATGGTTTGTCCTACCGAAATTAATAACCATTTCTTTGAGGTTGGCTGAACTCAAACAAAATACAAAAATACAAAAAGGCCCTGGCCAGGGTGGCTCAGCTAGTTGGAGTGTCATCTCATACACCAAGAGTTTGTGGGTTCAATTCCTGGTCAGGGCACATACCCAGGTTGCGGGTTTGATCCCCGTATGTGGAGGCCACAAATTGATTTTTCCCCCCTCCTCTCTCTCTCCTTCCCGCCCCCCTCAAAAAAACACATAAAAAGAATATATACCTCTTGATGCAGTCCAGGAATTGGCTCTATAATTATAAATATAGACTTTTTTATTCACTACTAACAGCAATAGAGGACCAGCAAAATGTGCTGATGTTACTTCTGGTATGCCAACCTATAAATAATGACATATATAACATCAATAAACACCTCTTTTTGGATATCAATTTGGGAAGCAATACTTCTAGACACACATACAAGAAACATCTGTGCCAACAGGAGCTTTTTGGTTCCTAGATATTGGGGACTATGTATCCTGGGGTAAGCTGGAACCAAAACCGGGAGGTGGTGGCCTCAGACAGCTAAATTCACTCCCTCATCAAAACCCTCTCTGAGTCCTGGCTGGCATAGCTCAGGGGTTAGAGTGTCAGCCTGCACATCAAGGGGTCATGAGTTCGATTCCCAGTCAACTGCACATACATGGGTTGCAGGTTCGGTCACCGGCCCTGGTTGGGGAGTATGCGGGAGGCAACCAATCAATATATCTCACATAGATGTTCCTCCCTCCCTCCCTCCCTCCCTCTCTTCCTCTCTCTCTTCCTTCTACTCTATCTAAAAAAAAAATCAATGGAAAAAAATATCCTTGGCTGAGGATTAACAACAAAACAAAAAACCCAAAATACAAAAAACAAACCTTTTCTGAGGAGGCCCTGGCCAGGTAGCTTACTTGGTTAGAGCCATCATCCCAATATGCCAAGGTTGCACATTAGATCCCAGGTCAGGGCACATACAGGAACCAACCAATGAATGCATATAAGTGGAACAACAAATCCATGTTTCTCTCTCCGGAAAAATAGAAACAAAATAACAACAAACCCTTCTCCAAGGATAAAGCCTAAAGATAAATGATAAATGAGGAGCATTAACTATTGCTTCCAAGAAACATTGGTATCTTAATATATGGCAAAACTTCTTTAGCATAGGTGCTAATGGTAGAATTTCTCAAGATAGTTACTAAGAGTGTAAAGGTTTTTCTGTTTTGGTTTAGGACAATTTAGGGAGGCCCTGGAATCAGTGCATGTAATCTATCTATTCCCAACACAAAACCAATTGTAGGAAGCATTGGCAACAATTCTGCTTCCTTTTTCAGGAAAAAAAGGTACCATTTTGGTAGTAAGGACAGAATAGAATTAACACTCTTTTTTGGCTTAGAAACTACTCTCAATGTCTTAAAGAGACACATTTTTGTAAAATAAACTTCAAATGAACAAAAACAAACTAATGTGATATTTCCAAATTATACCTTTACCCTGAATATTACGTATTTCAAGCATCCTTCAGACTGTTCCATATAATAACTACCTGCATTGACGTAGGGATGGAAAGTGGAGGAAGACTACTCTCAAAGTTATTTCTCGTGAAAAAAAGTTGTTGTCTGAAATAAACAATAAAACAGTTACATTAGGAGAATTTTACACAAGGGGTGGGGGTGGGGGCGGAGACAATGGCAGTCACTCTAAAAATGTTACACACATCAAAATTTATTTAAAAATAAGGAACAATTTAGGTTCTGCCTATCTACCTACCTACCTACCTACCTACCTATCTATCCATCCATCCATCCATCCATCCATCTATTTTTGCATGAGTAAATTTGTACAGCCTGGGTATTCAACTTCTTGAAATAACATTATATTAAAAGTGTGACCAGCCCTACTGGTTTGGCTTTCCTAGGTTTGATTCTGGTCAAGGGCACATACCTACATTGCAGGCTTGATCCCTGGCCCTGGTGAGGGTGTTGTGGGAGGCAAACAATTGATGTGTCCCTCTCACATCGATGTTTTTCTCTGTCTCTCCCCCTCCCTTCCACTCTCTCTAAAAATCATTGGAAAAATATCCTCATGTGAGAATAAATAAATAAATGTGACCAGGTTGTTACCATAGACAGTCAGCCAAAGTACAGGCAGCCAGTGGCCAGGTGAGTGTGGGTTGACTGGCCACTTTGGAGGGCCACGCTGTCTGGGGGCTGTGTAGAGGATGCAGGCATGTTGGCTTCCAGGGGCACCCTGTGGACTCCAACGGGCTCCCCCTGATGTGAAAATGCTGTGTCTAGTGTAGGGAGATGGGCTTAATGGTGGGTCCTGCAGCCCCTCCCCGCCCCCCCCCCTCACACACACACCTCCACTCTCCACTGACTCTGATATTATAGACAGAGAGTGCCAGGGAGTCTTCCCCATTGGTCAAGATGGCACACTAATGTGGCAAAATCTATAAAGATAAATGGATAGGGCCTGAACATGCCAAAAGCTAGAAAGACAGGGCCCGAATGCACCAAAAGCTAAAACGATGGCCCTAGCTTGTTTACTCAGTGGTTAGAGCGTCAGCCTGTGGACTAATGATTCACGGTTCAATTCCAGTCAAGGGCACATGCCTTAGTTGCAGGCTCAATCTAGGACCCCAGTTGGGGCGCATGGGGGAGGAAACCGGTCAGTGTGCCTCTCTCACATTGATGCTTCTCTCTTTATGTCTCTCCCCCTCTTTTCCAGTCTCTCTAAAAAAAAAAAATCAATGGAAGAAATATCCTCGGGTGAGGATTCAACAAAAAAAGCTAGAAAGATGAATGGATATGACCTGAGTGAGCCAAAAGCTAGGAAGATAATTGGATGGGGGAGGGGGAGCCTTCTTCTCCCTATTCCTACAAAAATAGTGGGCTTGAACAGGTGGGGGGGTCGTCTTTAAGATGGGAGTCAACCATTCTCCCAGGTCATAGCACCTGAATAAACCTCTTTCCTTTTGCAACAGCACCTGTCTCATGAGGCTGTCTTTCATTGTGGCAGGCAGCCAAACCTGTGTTTCAGTTATAGTTTTGGTGACCCAGATGGGACAGCACGGACCTCAGTAAGTCCTGGAGGGCCTGGGCTAAGGTCCCAGCTGCCTGTGGTAGGCTGACCCTGGGAGCAGGACTGTGAGGGATTGAGCCCGCAAACCAGGCATGTGCTCTGACCGGGAATTGAACCTCAACCTCCTGGTTCATAAGTCAATGTTCAACCACTGAGCCACGCCAGCCAGGGTAAACATGACTTTTATTGGGCACAGTGCCCTGGAATTAAGTACTTTCTGGTCTCTTCATCTCTCTTCCACCCCAATTGTGGACTCCCTGCAGGCTAGTAACTAGCAACACAGGACAGACCCATCTTCCTTAACCTTTGTTGAATGAATCAATGAGGGAAAATCTAACACTTTAATAAAAATGATAGTAGCAATTCATAAAATGGTTACTTACCCTAGATATAGGGCTGTGTTTTTCTTGCAAGGATGTCTAATCAGGCGTGTTGTAGATGAAAAATACAGGACATCCTGGGCAGATGGTTGCAAAATCTTAACATCAATAATAATAAACACTTGATGAAAACAATGTCCTAATGTGCAATATTGAAAATGTAAAAGTGAAATCTAAATTAAGCAGGTGCACTGTATCATTATCATTTTCCTGTTTTGATATTATACTCTGGTTATGTCAGATGTCACCACTGAGTATAGGGTATCTGGGATGTCTATTTCTGCAACCTGCCGTGAATCTATCATTTCAAAATAAAGAGTGAAAAAAGATTCTGAAGCTAATTCATAACACATCTAATTCCACATGTTATTTTTTTATTTACAGATTATTACTTATTAGAGAGGTGAGAGGACAAATTGTAAAGCTAAGAGGTTAGAAACCAGCCACTTTGAGATTATTTAGAAATGCTGACACCTCTTCCCAAATGACGTAATGTCAATAGGTAATTTATTTTAACAAGTGAAATATTTTTTTCTTCATACATATTCTTTTTAAAATTGAATTTATTAGGGTGACATTGGTTAATAAAATTTATAGCTTTCGGATGTATAATTCTATAATACATCATCTGTATATTGTATTGTGGTCTCATTATCCCAATTTCTTCATGCATTTTAGGTACACATGGGGGGAAAGGAAGTTCCTGTTGTACTGTCATATAAACAAATTTGCTTCCCATGTTATTGCAGATTTTAAAATCTCCTATCACACAGAAGAACACTGGTGATCTGATTTCTAAACACACTTCTGTCTCCTGGCTTTGTCCAGGTTACTTGGTCTCTACTTTTTTAGTGAAATGGGAAAGATAAATCCTTTATTTCAAAGGGCAATGGTAAAGATTAGTGTTGTATATCTAACACAACACTGGCACAACAAAAATACTGGGAAATATTCTGATTTAGTTATTAGATTCAAGTGAAGAATGAATATTAAATATGGAGTCACATACCCCTGGAGTTTCATGAACATCCTGAGTTATCTTTCCTGTCCTCACCGTGTGAACACTAGAGATAAGTGACAAGAGAGACCTTCTGTCAATGTTTATTGAATATTCATCATGACTCCACCAGATTGTCTCTGGGTTAACTCTGAAATACCTGTTCTTGATGCTTTTCAGTTATGGAAGGCCCTGTAAAATCTAACTAAACTGGGAGTCCTCCTCTCCCACAGAGAGACACATGGATACCCCAAAATGGAGATATTTCCAAGTGCTCATAAAGGCCCATTTGCAGACCCCAGATTAGGAAGATTAAGAATTCCTACTTCGTTTTCTTTTTCTTCTTTTTGTGTGTGCGGTGTTGGTGGCTGGGAGAGTGTTGGTATAGTTTACAGCAGAGGTTCTCAATCTTGGATGTGCTAGAAGCACCTGGAGGGCTTGATAAACTTTATATGGCGAGGCCTCACCTGTAGATCCAGGGAACTGCAGTGGTAACAAATTCCCAGGTCATGCTGTTCCTGCTGATCCAGGACCACATTTTGAGAACTCGTATGGGGAAATGGGAGAATTAGATGAACTCTTTACAGACTTTGAGACAAATCGTCCTAGTAAATCTTACTGGAAAACCCTACTCCACAGTGACTAGCTATGTGTCTTTAGGCCTGTGTGTCTTTAATTTCGCTGGGTCTGTGTTCACAATCCTAAAACAAGGTTAATGAATCACTAGTAAAGATGAAATGAGGCCATGCACCAAAGCACACGTTCACTATTTCATCACCAAACAGGGCCCTGCTAAATGTGACAGCTCAATTCTGGCAAGAGCTCCCTGAGGACAGGAACTGGGCTTTATAGCTTCTGTCTAGCTCGTATAGCACCTTGCGTAGCCTTCACTAATGTAACAGTTACTGAAATCTAATAATGTTCTAGGTATGGAGTGAATAAAATAAACATTCTACACTCTCATGAAGCTATTATTTCTAGTGACGGCAACAGATAAGAAAAAAAATTGTCTAAAGAAAATAACAAGTTAGTGATTGATAGTGAAAAGCAGATATGAGGAGGGGGCCTTAAATGAGGAAGTACTATTTAAGTCGGGATAGAGATCTGATTGACGAGGAAAGAGCCATGGAGAAACCTGGAAGCAAAGCGTACCATCGGAGGAAGTCGTATGCACCGAGTCTCTCCCATCCCCAAAGCTGGGTCTAGTTGGCCGTGTTCAGGGACAGTGTGCCCGGAGCAGTGACTGCGTGGGCAGGGACCAGATGGGTGGTTGTCAAATCCCTAGGAACCCTTGGCAATACCTAGAGGCATTTTTGATGGATGGGTAAAGCCTGGGGAAGTAGGTACACCTGGCATCTAGTGGGTGGCGGCCAGGGACGCTGCTCAACATCCAACAGTGCACGGAACGGCCCCACCCGCCCTACGTGTCAGCTGCGCTGCTGTTGAGAAGCCTGGGGCCAGAGCATGCGAGGAAATGCAGGCTGCTCCAGGAACTCGGGTTTTATTCCGGGTGCCACGGAGAACCAGAGAAGGGGAATGACGAGATCAAATTAGATTATCAATTCCTCTGGCTGCCTGCGTTGAGTGCTGCCTAGAAAGGCACAGCCTGGGGTGGTGGCAGTGGAAGTGGCTTGAAGGGTTGGAACAGTCCAAAGTTTTGAAGTGGCAACGGGAGGACGTGGTGATGGACTGGATAGGTTAGAATGGGGTGAGAGAAGGGGAGGTATCACGTTTGATTCCTGAAGAGAGAACTGGGAAACCTCAATCCTCCCCGGATTCCGCCCAGGCCTCCACTCAGAGGAGCCAACCTTCCTTCCCGACCCCTGGCAGCACCCCAAACCCGGAAGGGCGGCCGCACCGGCACAGCGGCTGAGCTCTGGCCAGCGAGCAGAGCCGCAAGGACGCTACCGCGACAAGCATCAACACCAGCATCTGGTTAGAGGCGCCGCCGCCGCCACCACCGTCCTCAACCGCCGCAGGGTGCTGCTCCACAGTGTGGGCATGCGCAGAAGAGAGCCTGGGCACCGCGTCTGGGGTCGCCGCGGATCCTGAGCATGCGCACCTCGGCTCCTGGGAAGCCTAAATCCACCCACCTCAACCGTCCCCTTCCAGAACCTGGACACGCGCAAACAGGCACACGCGCATGCTCTCACTGGAGCCTGAGCATGCGCGCGTCGTTCCCCCCAACCGGCCCCTGGAGCATGGGCAGGAGCATGGGGCTGCTGGGGCGCGTTGACAACTTCAGCTTGAGCGCAGTGTCTCCCGGGGAAGTTCGAATTCACCAACCAGGAGCCTGAGCATGCGCACATCACTCGTCTCCACACGTTCCCCGAAGGTTCACTTTCAGCAACAGCCGGTCACTTTCCTGCGGGTGAGAGCGCGTGCTCACCTCCACGTGACCCGAAGAGGCTTGGGCGGTGCCAGCTGGTTGGCTGGAGGAGGTGGGTGCGTGGAGAGAGCTTGAACCCCGCCCCCTCTTCAGGCCCGGCCCCGCCCCGCCCCGCCCCGTAGGTCCCAGAGCACGCTCCCGACGTCACGTGCACTTCAGTCCAGTGAGCGGAAATGACGCAAGCCCTGTGCGCCACCAGGATGGCCGGGCCATGGCGGCGGGCACAGGATACGTGCGGCTGTGGGGCGCTGCGCGGTGTTGGGCGCTACGGCGGCCACTGCTGGCTGTCGCCGGGGGGCGGGTGCAATCTGCGGCCGGAGCGTGGTTGCACAGAGGCCTGCGGGCCTGCGACACTTCTCCTCCGTGGGCGCTTTGGGGCCGTGGCCCCACGGCTGCCGGCCAGTGGCGGGGGCTTTGGGAGGCGAACAGCCGCGGCGGCGGCAGCGGATTCTCGGGGGGCGAGGATGCCCCCGAGGGCGGCGTGGAGGATGGCGCCGCCGGCGCGGGGGGCAGCGCGGGCGGCGGCGAAGGCCCCGTCATAACGGCGCTGACACCTATGACCATCCCGGACGTGTTCCCGCACCTGCCACTCATCGCCGTCACCCGCAATCCGGTGTTCCCGCGCTTTATCAAGATTATCGAGGTAATGCGGTCTCCTCCGTTGTCCTCCGTTTCCCCACCTCTGCTCGCAGCGAGTTGGGCCGAGGGAAAGTTTAGCACCCTCATTTCTCCAAAGTTTTTCAGACACGAAGTTTATCCAAGGCAGGAGTTGGAATTTTGTCTGCTAATCACTAGCTTGGTGAACTGGAGCCAAATTCCTCCTCTAGGAGCTCTTAAGGCAGTGGTTCTCAACCTGTGGGTCGCGACCCCTTTGGGGGTCGAACGACCCTTTCACAGGGGTCGCCTAAGACCATCGGAAAACACATGTATAATTACATATTGTTTTTGTGATTAATCACTATGCTTTAATTATGTTCAATTTGTAACAATGAAAATACATCCTGCATATCAGATATTTACAATTCATAACAGTAGCAAAATTACAGTCATGAAGTAGCAACGAAAATAATTTTATGGTTGGGGGTCACCACAACATGAGGAACTGTATTAAAGGGTCACGGCATTAGGAAGGTTGAGAACCACTGTCTTAAGGGGAGTTGGACCCAGAGAGCTTAGGACCGTGCACTTAGCGTGTCATCACAGACATCCGGCTCTGAAAAGAACCCGAAAAGCAGTCTTGCGCCAGTTACTTTTCTGCAGGTGTTGGTACATGTTTTCTCACCCCGTCTCCCCAGAGTGGCCTTTCTGGTGATGAGCCTCTCTGGGATCAGGATTAATTCCTTTCTTAAACAAGTATTTCTAGATCATGTGCCAAGTTCAGTTCTAGCTGTTAGGGGTACAGCAGTGAACAAGACAAAATTCCTGCCTTCGGAGCTCATATTTTAGCGAGAAGCAAGAAGCAATGAACAAGATTAGTAAGTAAAGTATGTGCTGGAAGACAATGAATACCACAGGGAGTAAGAGAGCAAGGGACGGAGGAGGAAGGTGGGAGGGGAATCTCCGAGGGGTGCAGCGGAGTGTTCCCAACCCCCTACCATGTCGCCAGCACTGAGGTACAGCAGTGAACAAATCAAACAGTCCCTGTGCCTAAGGAACGGATGTTGTAATGGAAAGAGGCAGGAAACAAGGTCCTTTCAGACTGAGACACCTAAAGGGAGGGTTGGGTGGGGAACCAGGGTGATGTAATAGGGAGAAAACACTGAGTGCAAGGAACTTGCCTTTTTAGAGCAGGAAGGACACAAATACCTCCCTCCCCCACCCCACCCCTTTTTTAATGATGTGGAAACTGGAGTCCATGGAGGAGAAAGGTTATCTTTAACTGTCTAAGCAAGGTCATACAATGAGTCAGCCTCTGTATTCACTCTCCAACTTCGCCCCCTCTGCTAAGTAAATCTCAGGGATGCCTTGGGACGGGACAAAACAGAGGGACAGCAGCCAGCCAGTGAGCAGGGCACAGAAGAGGCCCCTCCACCTCCTGTTTTGCACTGCTGCTGATGTCTGCCTGAGCTGCTCTTCCAGGGCCTGCCTTGATGTTGAGTAGTGGTTATTTGGAGGTCCCAGGGTAGGACCCTGTGGCAGACTCCATCATCCCTAGTTCTGGAACCGGAACCTTGGGCAAGCTGTTGCTCTGGGCCTTCATTTTCTCATCTGTGAAATGGACATGATAGTATCTTCTATGAGTTGTTGTGGGAAATAAATGAGGTCATGTAAAGGATCTAGAATGGTACCTGGTGCTTAGTGTGCCTCAGTAGTAAGCAGCTGCACCTGTTGTCTTTTATGTGGGGCTCTCCTGACATTTCAGAAGCCTGCCTTGGAGAGCTCTTTCCCGTCTTTGACCCACCATCAGCAGTCCTCTCTACCCTACCAGGCCCCTGGGGCCAGGACTGTTCACCAGGTGTGGTCCCCTCAGCCCAGCAAAGGGGCAGGTGCCCAAGCAGAGATAATGATTCTTCTAAGAGATTGTGTCTGTCCACCTAGAGCTAGCCAGGAGGGTTAAATGAGTCGCTGTGGATAGCATGAGACTGGCATGTGGTACTCATATTTTTGTAATGAAAAGGGATCATGCCAAAGAAGGGGAGGTGCCGAGATGCAACAGTCAGCTGTTAGCAGAGGAGAAATGAGGAAAACTTTCGTGGACCCAATTAGTGTTTCTGAACTTGTTAACCAAGCTCCGATTACTTTTGTTTCTGTAGTTGACTGCATGGGGCTAATTTGCCCCAGTAGGTTCTCTTCTTATCAGTGGCTTCAGACTATAGACTAGAGTGGTTCTCAACCTTCTGGCCCTTTAAATACAGTTCCTCATGTTGTGACCCAACCATAAAATTATTTTCGTTGCTACTTCATAACTGTAATGTTGCTACTGTTATGAATCGTAATGTAAATATCTGATATGCAGGATGGTCTTAGGTGACCCCGGTGAAAGGGTCGTTCGACCGCCAAAGGGGTCGCGACCCACAGGTTGAGAACTGCTGGACTAGAGGCTCTTAATTTTTATTGGGTTGATGTACCCTCCTGATGGACCTTTCACCGGGGAAAAATGCATCCATAGTGACAGGAATTCCCAGACCCTAAGTTAAGAGCCGCTGTTAGAGTTAAAACACTGGTTCTCGCCCTAACCGGTTTGGCTCAGTGGATAGAGCGTCGGCCTGCGGACTCAAGGGTCCCAGGTTCGATTCCGGTCAAGGGCATGTACCTTGGTTGTGGGCACATCCCCAGTAGGGGGTGTACAGCAGGCAGCTGATCGATGTTTCTCTCTCATCGATGTTTCTAACTCTCTAGCCCTCTCTCTTCCTCGCTGTAAAAAAATCAATAAAATATATATATTTAAAACACTGGTTCTCAAATTTTGGTGCTTGGACCAGCAGCATCACCTGGGAGCTTGTTTAGAATGCAAACTCTCAGGCCCTCTTTAGATTTCCTGCATCAGAAACTATGTATGCTAAAGATTGAGAGCCATCAAGTTTAGGCAGTCCCGTCTGGGAATTAGCGCAGGCTTGAAAGAAATCATTTGAACCCTAAAAGACATCTGTGCACCACCCCCCATTAACTGTTTCCTAGGAGACATCATTAACCCCCTACCTGTCGCCAAAATGACATCAAGAGAATGTGCTGTGAGCTTGGGGGTTTCAACGATCAATAAATAGGATAAAGATGTGATTGGGAAATACTTTCAGTGAAGATTAGAGGAAGTTAATATCCTGTGGGGTGGGCACATTTGAATTACACACATTTAGTGTAGTTCTGACACTGATGAAATCAGTAACGTTTAGATTTTAGGCTTTACATTTTGCCACTGAAACAGCTCTTGAAGTTGAACCTTAAATCAGTTTCTTAGTTCTGGCCATTTGTCTACTTTGAGTTTTCTTTAGGAAGGGGGAGAACCACCGAGGAATGCAGTGGTTCATATATCTGTCTTTTGTTTGTTTTTGGTCCAGGGGTTCCTGGACTAAGTTGGTTAGTGACCTTGATCAGATTAGCATGTCCCCAGAGAATAATATAGAAATGTTAGAGCTGCTGTCAAAATGTCAGCTAGAAAACCTACCCTGCGTTTCACTTTGGGGTCATTGTCCTGCTAGGTTAAAAATAAGAAGTTGGTTGAGCTGCTAAGAAGGAAAGTCCGTCTTGCCCAGCCATATGCCGGCGTCTTTCTAAAGAGAGATGACACGTAAGTGTAATTTTTCCTTCACTCCTTTGCTGAAGTCGCCCTGGAGTGTAGCTCACCACCAGTTTTGCTCCCTAAAGTAGCCTGGACCTCTGACCCTTGACCTGAAAGAAACCAAGTAGAGCCTACAGGGGACTCAGCTAAGAGCCAAGTGTTCTTTTATAGCAGGGGTCCTCAAACTTTTTAAACAGGGGGCCAGTTCACTGTCCCTCAGCCCGTTGGAGGGCCGGACTATAGTTTTAAAAAAAACTATGAACAAATTCCTATGCACACTGCACATACCTTATTTTGAAGTAAAAAAACAAAACGGGAACAAATACAATATTTGTATTTGCATGTGGCCCGAGGGCCGTAGTTTGAGGACCCCTGCTTTATAGCCTGGACTGAAGGCTTGGCTTGCAGCGCTGGGCTTCATGCCTTGTCAAGATGTGGGGGGGGTATTAACCTCGAGGACCCTTGGTGTTAAAACATGCACACCTACAAGGCCGCTTCAGCACAGAGCGAAGTGGGCAGATATCACCGCTTTGGATATGTCCACCTTGACTCCAGGCAGGAATTAGTTCCACTTCCAAGTTAGAAGTCTAGGGTGTCCTGAGTAGGCTCTGTCCTGGGATTTTGGAATGGAATGAAAATTCCATCCAGGATGCCCCATGGCCAGGAGCTACTCACCTGTGCAGTTGCCACTGGTATTCCTTAGCTGGCAGGTACTTTACTGGGCTCCAGAGCCCCTGTGGGAGCAAGGAGGTCACTGTTGGTTTTCAGTCCAGGCCAGTTGAGTTTTTCGCCTCTCCCTCCTCCAGCCTAGCCTGAGACACTCCATGGGAATTAGAGAGCCTGTGCCGATGTTCCTTTGTGTCTCTCTCCCTCAGTAACGAGTCTGACGTGGTCGAGAGCTTGGACGAGATCTACCACACGGGAACGTTTGTCCAGATCCACGAGATGCAGGACCTTGGGGACAAGCTGCGCATGATTGTCATGGGACACAGGAGGTTCGGGGGTCTGTGGGACACTGGTGGGGAGGGTGGTTCTGAGTACCCACAGGTCCCAGCACTGACTCACCCTTCTCAGTCATCCCTGCGGCCTGATCACTCCAGTGACCACACCAAAGCTGGAGATTGAGGCTAAGACGTCATCTCTGGAACCTCCCTTCTCAGTGTTCCCTTGTTAAAGTGGCAGTATGGGTGGTCCGTGAGACGTCGTTTCTTTAATGCACGTTATTTTAAAAAGCATCACAAAAACAAAGTAGCAAGTTGCCTCATGTCTCATGTCTAGGTGTCCGCTGTTCACAGTTGGACTTGCTTTTCCTCCAAGTGCACGTGTCTGCATCTGCCTGCAGATAATGCTGTATTGTCATTCTTAGCAATTTGCAGTTTTTCACCCAGACACACTTCCTTGTGGTCCAGGGAATTTTTTTTTTTTTAAATATATATTTTATTGATTTTTTACAGAGAGGAAGGGAGAGAGATAGAGAGTTAGAAACATCGATGAGAGAGAAACATCGATCAGCTGCCTCCTGCACACTCCCCACTGGGGATGTGCCCACAACCAAGGTACATGCCCTCGACCGGAATCGAACCTGGGACCTTTCAGTCCGCAGGCCGACGCTCCATCCACTGAGCCAAACCGGTTTCGGCCCAGGGAATTTTTAACTGTCAAAGGACTGCATATGTTTGTAAGTCCAGTTTAAGCCCTTGTAACTATCACGATTAATTTTAAAAATCTGTAAGGTTGAAGCTCTCGATAGAGCAGCGGTTCTCAACCTGTGGGTCGAGACCCCTTTGGCGGTCGGACGACCCTTTCACAGGGGTCGCCTAAGACCATCCTGCATATCAGATATTTACATGACGATTCATAACAGTAGCAACATTACAGTTATGAAGTAGCAACGAAAATAATTTTATGGTTGGGTCACAACATGAGGAACTGTATTTAAAGGGCCAGAAGGTTGAGAACCACTGCGATAGAGGAACTAACCAGCTTTTCACATGTGTTCCAAGGAACATTGGTCCTGTGAGACGCTTCACAAGAGTCCTGTGATCAAATACACATGAGAACATGTCAGAGTACAAGCTGATAACGTGTAGTGAAGATACAGTGAATGTTCTGAAAAGCCCCTCATTGGCGACACTGACAGCATTTATTGAATTCAGCCTTCCATCGTTTTTCTCACCTAGCCTTTTTCTTGTGTCAGCTGGGCAGCACTCCAGATACACTCTGGGGAAAGGGCCTGTGCCGGGCCCTGATTCTGTGAAAGTCCTGGTGGCACTCCCTGCACTGAGCCTCCACACCCCTTCATCTGTTCCTGCTAGTCTGTTTTAGGGAAGAGGCTGTTCCTCTGTGTCCTGGAAGGACTCATGAGCCAGAGGGAAGAGAATAAGATTCAGTCCGAATTAATAAACAGTGGTGCCTGCTAACTGCCCTGCCTTACAGAATGAGGTGCCCTATAGAATGAGCCCTCTCTCCTGAGGCCAGGCCTCCTTTTCTCTGTGCACCTTGCTGACGACAGCTGGGCACCGAGTAGGCATCTGTGGTGGCTGTCAGGCCCTTCTCTGAGGAAGGCACCATTGTTAGTTACCTGTGTGACAGAGGGGAGGCGGAACACGTCATACAACACCTGGATGGAGAGACAGGGTGGGAGCACCCCTTGTGGGAGGACACCAGAGGCATGAAAACAGGTCACAAGCTGAAATCAAATGGTGATGGGTGCTTTAGGGAAGGAGGGAGATGAGGATGGGCAGGGTGACGGGATCTGGCCTTGAGGAGGTGCCCTTGAATCGAGACCTGAACAACACGAAGGAGTGAGCTCCGAGTGAGAGAGGCAGGCAGAGTCCCAGAGATGGGCTCTGCCGAGGTGGCAGCTCGTAATGGTCCCCAGAACTGGTTTCCACTGGCTCATCCATCAGTTTGTGGAGGACAGTGGGGCATTGGTGTGGGAATGGAATGGATGGGTCTGCTGGAGTCTAAGGGCAGAGGGGGATGCTGGTCTTTGGGTTCTGAGAAAGTAGCTCAGTCTTCAGCTCCAGAGTTTGTAGTTACCCTGCCCTGGGCCCAGCAAGACCCTTAGTTATCAGCACTGGGGGCCTCATTAGGGCACGGCCCCTCCCAACCTCAGCGGCTCCATCTCTGCCTCGCTCCCGGCTACAGGATTCACATCAGCAGACAGCTGGAGGTGGAGCCGGAGGAGGCCGAGGCTGAGAAGCAGAAACCCCGCCGGAAGCCAAAGCGGAGCAAGAAGGAGGCGGAAGAGGATCTGGGTGTCAGGCGCCAGATGGAGGTGGTGGTGGAGCCCAACTCAGGCACCCCCAGCGAAGTGCTCATGGTGGAAGTCGAGAATGTTGTCCATGAGGACTTCCAGGTCACAGAGGAAGTGAAGGTGAGTCAGCACTCCTGAGGAAGGGGCTAGCCCAGCCGTGGGCAAACTACGGCCCGCGGGCCGGATCCGGCCCGCTTGAAATGAATAAAACTAAAAAAAAAAAAAGACCGTACCCTTTTATGTAATGATGTTTACTTTGAATTTATATTAGTTCACACAAACACTCCATCCATGCTTTTGTTCCGGCCCTCCGGTCCAGTTTAAGAACCCATTGTGGCCCTCGAGTCAAAAAGTTTGCCCACCCCTGGGCTAGCCTGTTGCAGCACTCATTGTTTGAGAGTGCAAAGCACACTTTTCCTCAAAAAAGTCCTTGGGAGAAACTGGGATGAGAAAAGTGAAGGAAATCCACTGGGGTCCTTAGCTGCTCTCGAAGGAGGCAGGGTTTGAACCCAGGTCCAGCCACAGCCTGCGATCTCCGGGCAGGTGCCTCCAGCCTTCCCCCCAAGCCTGGTGCATCGGGGCGGGGAAGCAGGGCACATTCCTCGGGAACTTGGGCTCTGAGACGGGAAAGAAACAGCCTTCCTGGTGAGCCAACTTTCAAGGTGGTGGTGGGAGTGTCCTTCCACCTGTTCTTCTAGTGCAACTTCTAGACAGGGTGACTGCTGGGTAGGAATATAGTGAATAGCTTTGGTCTGATTCTGAGGCACTGTGGTTTTTTCCTTTCTTTTTTTAAAATTTATTTTTAGAGAGCGAGAGAAATATTGATTTGTTATTACATTTAATTTGTGTATTCACTGAGGATCGAACCTGCAACCTTGGCATATAGGGACCATGCTCTAACCAACTGAGCTGCCCAACCAGGACACCAAGGCACTATGTCGAGAAGGATTCTGGGGCAGCTTCTGAGCTCCGAGGGAAGGAGTGCTGTGATTGGTTGGTGATGTCAGCTGTGGGTGCTGGAAGGGGCTTGGCTGCATTTGCCACTGGCCTGTACCAGCAGTCCAGGGCCACCCGGGCCCTTGAGAGCAGAGCTGTTTGGGAGAACCTTCCATGGTGGAAATATTCTGCAATTCGGCACCATTACCTGTGGCTATTAAGCACTCTACCTATGGCTGGTGTGACTGAGCAAGAGAACGCCCATTTTATTTAAGTGAATAGCTACCAGTGGCTGCCGAACTGAGGTGTGGGTTTGTATGTCATAAACAGCACAGCTTCAGAGTTTCCTATGAGGATTGTGTAGTGGGGGAAAGGCAAAGACATAGATGGTGTTATGAAAAGAATCAAGGACCAGGCTGGGGGTCTGGTGCTGAGAGCCCTTGTCTTGGGAAACAGGCTGGGCTGGAAAGGGGCTGCCCCTTCACCCGTCATGCAAGGCACATTCGTGGGAAACGGTGCTAAACCATTTGTAGATGACCTGTATGTAGCAGAGCAGCTCCCCCACTGTGATTTATTGAAAGTCAGCCCTCAACACAAGGGCTTGAATAAAAAAGAAAAAAGAATCGAGGACCTTGGAGAGACAGCGCACTCATCCTTGTTCACGCAAGGGCGATGGACCTTCAGTGGCTTCCTTCTATAAAGATCAACTCAGGCAATTCAGGGACAAATCCAATAACTAGATACTATGAGATTACACTAGAAAACCCCAGCCGTTGTGGCTGCTTGCTTCATGCCCACTGGTGCCCTCATTGGAGTACAATATGCTGCAAACCGGGCCTTCTGGAAACAAATGAGGTGTGGGTATGTATGTTGTAAACTGCCTGGTGGTCCTTCCAGAACAAGACCAGCTTCACTGTGGCAGGGAACAAAGGCAAGAAGGAACGCAGTACCCATGGGTCCACAGCCTAGGGCCCCACCTCTAAAGGGACCTGTGGCCAGGTTCCAGGAGGAACAGGCTGAGAGCCCTAGTGACTCAGGCAGATCCCAGACAAAGAAGTCACAGCCTGCGTGTTTTGTGGCCAAGGTTGAGGAGTGTCAGTTGTGAGTGATAAAAGAGTAAAGAAAACCCCGCTCCCTCTGTAAGAAATCCTCTCTCCCCCCAACCCCAAAACGCCTCGTTCTAAGATTAGAATGGTGTAAGGAGATGGAGTTGGTTTTAGTATTTGCTCAGTTGGTTCGGTGTCCCCGTGACTGGTGAATTCTGGCTCTGCTCCTGGGTCTCTAAGGCCATCCTTGGCCAGGACCAGGTGGGAGGGGCTCCCTAGGGCCACAGTGCCCCTCTGCCCCACTGGCCCCAGGACCCCGTGATCCATGCTAGTCTTCTCACTTTCCAGGCCCTGACAGCTGAGATCGTGAAGACCATCCGGGACATCATTGCCTTGAACCCACTCTACAGGTTGGTGTCCTGCACCCTCCCCAACCGGAATGTGTGGGTAGCCCTTCCTGAGGCCAGGCTGGGCTCTCTCTGTGGCACCTGGGTTGGCAGAAATTTTTCTCAAGAGTGTCCTGGTTGAAAACCTTTTGGGGGCAGGAATTTGACACCCAGGCCCAGTCCTGTGCAGGTGGAGCCTCTTCCCTTCTAACAGGGACATCCTGGGGTGGGATGGCTGACCTGGCCCAGGTTCTTTGCCGTCTTCCTGCTAACAAGGATCTGGATTTGGCTGGAAGCCTTTGTTGTCATTAGCTGTAGTGAAGGGGGATCTTATGAGGTTACCACGTGGCTGCCATAGGGGGCTTCTATCTGGGCTGGAGGTGTTACACTCATGATTCTAGGACAAGGAGGCCCTACTGGTCCTGAAGCTGGGGAGGCCCATATGCAATGCTGGCTCTCAGTGCTGCTAGGGACCATGAGACAGGGCCAGCAGGAGTGAAGTCCCAGCTGCTGTCATGGTCCTCGTGCCCCATGACAGCATCCCTCTGTCCCTTCCAGAGAGTCTGTGCTGCAGATGATGCAGGCGGGCCAGAGGGTGGTGGACAACCCCATCTACCTGAGCGACATGGGTGCTGCACTGACTGGAGCAGAGTCCCACGAGCTGCAGGATGTCCTGGAGGAGACCAATGTGAGTTGTCCGCACATGCACTGTGCCGGGCCTATTCCGCGTGCCGGGCCGCTTCCCAGGCTGGCTGGTGTCCTCAGCTCCCTTTTTGAGATGATTTCACATCAGCACATGTCCTTCATTCACATCCAGCGCCCTCATTCTTTTTAACTGCTGCATAGTATTCCATCAGGTGGTGTCCGTGATTTAGTGGTGGCATATTTGAGTTGTCACCAGTCTTTTGCTGTTACAAACAACACCTGTACAAACATCCTGATCCACACAGCTTGAGTACCTGATGGAGTTTTATCTGTAGAAGGTGTTTCCAGAACCTGGCTTGTTGGAACAGGGGTGCATGCCTCTTTTTGTTAAAGTGTGGCTAGTGGTCTGTTACAGTTTAGGCCAGTGATGGCGAACCTATGACACGCGTGTCAGAGGTGACACACGAACTCATTTTTTGGTTGATTTTTCTTTGTTAAATGGCATTTAAATATATAAAATAAATATCAAAAATATAAATCTTTGTTTTACTATGGTTGCAAATATCAAAAAATTTCTATATGTGACACAGCACCAGAGTTAAGTTAGGATTTTTCAAAATGCTGACACGCCGAGCTCAAAAGGTTCGCCATCACTGGTTTAGGCTCTCTCTAGCAACAGCTTGCTGAGTGCCCCGACCCCTTCCCCCCATCCCTGCAGTGATGGACAACCATTCTGATTGATGTCTCCTTTTTTGGCAGATTCCCAAGCGGCTGTATAAGGCCCTGTCCCTCCTCAAGAAGGAGTTTGAGTTGAGCAAGCTGCAGCAGCGCCTGGGGCGGGAGGTAAGTGGGGTGGGGACAGCCCCAAGCTGAGAAGGCTTCTGTGCTCCGAGGGCTGCGTGCACTTGGGCTGTGAAGCTCATTAGGTTAAAAATTACAACTGATCCTAGTGGCTGAACCCAGAGAAAGAGGTCTCCATCTGACCATCCCCCTTTGAGGGGGAGGAGCTCTCTGCGTTCAGAGTCCTGGGGAAAATGTGCGAAATGGGAACCAGATTGGGAAAGGTTGCAAAGCTTTTTTCCAAGACTGGACTGTGTATTCTCGGGTCTGAGGGCAACTTCTTGGCCCTGCAGGTGGAGGAGAAAATCAAGCAGACACATCGAAAGTACCTCCTGCAAGAGCAGCTGAAGATCATCAAGAAGGAACTAGGCCTGGAGAAGGAGGACAAGGACGCCATTGAGGAGAAGTTCCGCGAGCGGCTGAAGGAGCTCGTGGTCCCCAAGCACGTCATGGACGTTGTGGATGAGGAGCTGAGCAAGCTGGGCCTGCTAGACAACCACTCCTCAGAGTTCAAGTGAGTGCCTGGGGGCAGCGGTGCTGGCTCCTCTGTCACATCTGGCTCTCAGAAAAGCCTGTGACCTGGCAGGTCTGGCATGTTGACCCAGAAAGCCACCGGCACCGGCACAAGCACTTGTCTTAAACAGCCCGTGACATGCATCAGTCCTCTCAAACCATCCTGTGCGGAACCTGCCTTTGTCACCCCCATTTCTCAGATAAAGAAATCAGGGTTCAGGAAAGTCAAGTCAGTGACCAGGGCCTCTAAGCTGGTAGTCGGGAACAGTGATTTGAACCCAAGGACATATGGCTTTAAGCTAGTGCTTCCAGCCAGAGCCAGGAGTCCCTGAACCGTCACCCCGTGGCCACCCTCTTCCCTTGGCTTCTGTCCTCTGGCCTCCCTCTTGCTGCTTTGAGAGTCAGCCAGGAAGTAAGCGTATTTTATTGGGAACTCAGCCTTGACCAGCGGTCCTTGTCCCTCCCACACTGGCTGTGAGTCAGGATGGCTGCCCAGGGTTTGGGCAGAGAGGCTCAGGGCCTGTGGTGTCAGATCCCAGGGACTGGGCGTTGCTCCTGGGCAGTTTGTGGACTGGCAGGTCCTGGAATGGCCCTTCTGAAGGGAGGACCCAAGCACCAGGCCCCTCCCTGGCTCAAGATGTCTGGGGAGGGCAACATTCTTTCTACAGGACCCTGGGAGATGCTGATGCCTCCATTCTAGAGGTGCCCCAGCTTTTCTTCCTCGGGCAGCTAATGAGCTTTCATGCTGCTGTCACAAGTGTTTAGAAACTAGAGCAGCGGTTCTCAACCTGTGGGTCGTGACCCCTTTGGGGGTCAAACAACCCTTTCACAGGGGTCGCCTAAGACCATTGGAAAACACATATAATTACATATTGTTTTTGTGATTAACCACTATACTTTAATTATGTTCAATTTGTAACAATGAAATTGGGGGTCACCACAACATGAGGAACTGTATTAAAGGGTCGCGGCATTAGGAAGGTTGAGAACCACTGAACTAGAGCCTTAAAACATGAACCAATCATACAGTCTCTTATTAGGACCCTAGTGAGGGGCCCTTCTAGGCCCCTGTCCCTGATACACAACTCCCAGGCAGGGTTACTCTCTTGGTAATGCTGACCTGCCACCTCCCAGGCTTCGGTCTCGTCACTTGCCCTGGGTTAGGTTGTCCCCTCCATTCTAACCACTGTCGCTTCCATGGTGTTAGACCCTGAGCAGTCCCCATGCTCGCTGTGTCTCTGGTCTGGGAAACGGGCCTGGCACTTGTGGCGGGAACCAGGATACTTCCCAGTTGTGGCCCTCACTGAGATAGCTTTCCATAGTGCTGCCAGCCTGCCAGCCAAGTGTACTTGGTGTAGTTCACGCTTTGGGCTCAGTGGGTACCAGCCACATGGATTTGCAACAGCAGGGGCCAGGTGTCTCTCGGGGACCCACTCACCACTCTGGTCTGTCCTGTGGCAGCGTCACCCGCAACTATCTGGACTGGCTGACGTCCATCCCATGGGGCAAGTACAGCGACGAGAACCTGGATCTGGCCCGGGCCCAGGCAGTGCTGGAGGAGGACCACTATGGGATGGAGGACGTCAAGAAGCGCATCCTGGTGAGGCCGCCTGTACCCTCTTCTGTGGGCCCCGGGGTCCTGGGCACAGGCCAGCCTGAGCCCACATCCAGGCACTTGGTCGTTGCACCTAGGGCAGATGCTGAACGGCGTGGTCTGTAATGGTCTGGATTTGCATATGGGTCTGGATGCCTCAGGGGCTGGGGCCCAGGATCCCCTCCCTGCTGTTGGGGAGACCCAGAGGAGCCCCCTGGTGAATGTGGGGGTCTGGAGGTACGGAGGGGTTCAGGAAGGCAAGGGGTAGAGGGCCCTGGCCAGAGGTGTTGCATTGGCTCAGAAATGTCAGGGGCTGCCAGAGCCAGCCTGCCCTGCTCCAGGGACTCAAAGATTTACAAGGGGAAGAAAACAGGCCTGGCTGAGGGCATTGGGGCGTGGGCAGACCAGGAGAAAGGAGGAGGCCATTGTGATCCACAATATAGAAGGAAAGAGCCTGTTAAGTGGGGGAGCTGCCTAATGGGCCTGTACTGTAGTCATCCATAGTTGATTGTCAGTCACACGTTCTCCTGGCATCTACTTGTCCCATTGGTGCCTCAGGCTGTCCCACCCTGTGGCAGATGACACCTGCAGTCAGGTTGGCTCCTCCAGGACAGGCCTTGTCCCTTCTCACCCCCCAGAAACCTAGAAAGTACCAGAAGGTGGCCAGACTCAAGTCAGGCACAGCCCTTACTCTGCACAAAGGCAATGAGCAGCGAGTGATTGATTGTCTCATGGGAGCCCACCTCTGCCCATAGGAATTCATTGCCGTCAGCCAGCTCCGAGGCTCGACCCAGGGCAAGATCCTCTGCTTCTACGGCCCCCCTGGTGTGGGCAAAACCAGCATCGCCCGTTCCATCGCTCGAGCCCTGAACCGAGAGTACTTCCGCTTCAGTGTCGGTGGCATGACGGATGTGGCCGAGATTAAGGGGCACAGGTAGGCCCAGCCTCCTGGATCTGCTCCTGCCTTTGTTAAAGTGATTGGGGTGGCAAAGTAGTAAACTCCACTCACACTGGAGTTAGTAACTGAAAAGTGGAGGCATCTGGGCCCGGCTGAATCCAGGTGCTCAAATATTGGATCCAAATCTTGACCTCTTAGGGAGGGCTTTGTCAGCATTTCCAGCTTAGTTCCCACCAGCAACTCCCCCAGCAGCCCCACCAGAGTTCCAGGGCTGGCGCTTGCCATTCTGCCTGGGCTGTCTGACTAGTGACTGAACTAGAGTGAGGGGCAAGGTGGTCTCCCCAGTGAGAATGGGCCAGCCCACACCTGTGAGGCCTGAGCACCTGTCTTGATTCTTTCCTCTCTCATCAGACCCCGAGCAGGGGCTGGTATCTTCTGTGTCCCGGGTCTTAACCATTTGTACACCATAAGCGTCTATAGACGCAAGTGGGGAACCTTTTTTAATTAAATTCAAAATATCGTGGCAGTTAACTGGTTACAGCTACCTGGCCCTGTGCCTGGCACCGTTCGGGGAGCAGTCAGGATATTTCGTTCTTCTGGAGCTTCCCGCCATGCTGGCCTCCACAGAGGTTGGTTCTTGGAAAAGTGTAAACTGCTTGAGACACAAGTGTAGCAGATACACTAGTATTTGTTCTCAGGTTGCCAGTGTTCAAAGGTGGGGTGGGGAGGCCGGATGGGGAGAAGGTAGCGCTGTCATAGGCTACTCTTGGTGCTTCTCCCTAATGACTAATAGATGCGTGATCTCTATGGACCACCCACAGGTTTTCCTGTTCTCCCTTGTACCTGGCCACATGACCTTCTACCTGCCCCCAAGCCCTGGCAAACTAGTGTTTAAGGATGATTTGAGTCCATGTTACAAGTTCCTTTTTGTTGTCTCTGAAAACATGGATACTTTTGGCCGCCCACTGGGCAGGGTGAGTTGGGTGTGACCTCCACCCCTCACTGACTCGAACCCGCAGGGAGGTGGGCAGTCTCTCGGTTTCCTGGCACAGAGCCTGGTGTGAGCTCCAGGAGGGGTCAAGAAGGGACAGGGCCCACACAGCATTGGAGGCCACCAGGCTGGGATGGTGCATATTCCTGGGAGACCTACTCTGAGGGTGGAGGGGTGCAGGGAGCTGACCTGGGAGGCTGGGGAGGTTCTTGCCTCAGTACTGACCTCTGAGCTGGTTGAGCAGGAGGCTGAAAGTTGGGGGTGGGCCTGAGGGAAGGCAGAGGGGACCCTGGTACCCCCTGTGCCCTAGTTGGAGATGCCTAGGAGCTGCGGCAAGGACCACTCCCCAGGGTGAGAAGAGGCTTTGGCTGAGTTTCTGCACAAGTGCAGGCGGTCTGACGTTGGGAGGTCATTGGGGAGAGGTGCCCAGAAGGATGGGCAGGTGGGCGCTCTTTGCTGATGCTAGTCTGGGATTCCAAACAAGGACAAGGAACTGACGGACTGCTGTTGTCATACTGAAATCTGCCAAGCTCCCCTCGGCCCACATGGCCCACCCGTCGTCCCCTTGCTGCCCTCACCTTCTTCCTCTCTCAACTCTCACTCTGTTCCTGCCCCAGGTGTTGGGGATGTTCCCGGTGTCGGTTTCTGGCTCCTCCCAGCCTTTCTTGTTCTGTTGGGTTTCACTGGATATGAGGTGCTGACTAAGGGGATGGGTCTGAGGGAGACCTGGCTGTGAATCTGTCCCCTGCCCTGAATCTGAGCTGGGAAAGGAGGTCGGGGTGACTGAGTGCTCTGCAGATTGGCCTGGCCAGAAGCAGCCAGCATTTCCCCCCAGAGGGCACGTGGCACACTGAGGTCCTGGATCTCCAAGGGAGCTGGGCCTGCGAGTGCGCACGTGGCCCCCAGTGGATGAGGCAGGCACTGACCGCCCAGCGTGCCCTCTTCCCCAGGCGGACATACGTGGGCGCCATGCCGGGAAAGATCATACAGTGCCTGAAGAAGACCAAGACGGAGAACCCCCTGATCCTGATAGACGAGGTGTGTGTGGGCCCTGGAGGGCTGAGCTGTGGCTGCGCTTCCCTGAGGTTCAACCCTGTCTCCAGGGCCCTCCTAACCCAGAGCTCCGGGCAGCCCTGACCAGGCAGTCTGTGTTCACAATGAAACCCATGGCCTGGTGGCTTCGATGGTCCCTGAGTCACTGTGGGCGGCCTCACTGCAGCAAGGCCCTCTCATGACACTGGCCCCTCTCCTGCCCCAGAGGACCCCATGTCTGCCACAGTCACGCTGTGAGGCCAACTCTCTTGTCCTTTCTCAGGGCTTCCCCAGTTCTGGTCCCTGGTGTAGGTGGGGTCTGGGCCCACTTGGTTCCCCTGCCTCAGTGTCTGGTGAGCAGGTGCAAGGGGCAGGACAAGGTGCCAACACCAACTGCCCTCTGATGCCCTTCCAGGTGGATAAGATTGGCCGGGGTTACCAGGGGGACCCCTCGTCAGCATTGCTCGAGTTGCTGGATCCTGAGCAGAATGCCAACTTCTTGGACCACTACCTGGACGTGCCCGTGGACTTATCTAAGGTGTGTGTCCTGCCTGGGGCCTGACCCTGGCAGGGAGAGGTAGGGTGGCCAGTTCTCCAGCACCTCACACTGGCTCCCTAGGTGCTGTTCATCTGCACGGCCAACGTCATTGAGACCATCCCAGAGCCACTGAGGGACCGGATGGAGATGATCAACGTGTCGGGCTATGTGGCCCAGGAGAAGCTTGCCATTGCAGAGGTGAGGCCAGGTATCCCATCTGTCAAGCCCTGGGGAGGGGTGCCCCACTGTGCTCAGGCTTGAGCATCTGAGTGCACACTAAGTACTGGGCACTTAGAGTTGGGGGTTCAGTCCACAGTGCCCCTGCTCTCAGAGCTCCCATTCCCGTTCTAGTCAACTATCAAACCTGAGGGGGAGGGAGACAGGATACTGATCCCCGTGTCATGTACGTAGTATGAGGTCTAACCAAAAGAAACATGGCGTGTTGTAAACTGTAATGTCACACCTCTGACACCAGGTGTGGGGTGTTTGCCCCCACCAGCCAGTTTTCTGGCTGGGTGTCCTGCATTTCAGTGACACTACCAGGGTTAGCGGCAGAACGTACAGGTTCCGGACTCATCCCACAGAACTGCCCCAACTTCAGGAGCCACTCACAAGTCCCGGCCTCTCCTCTGACCAACCAGCTGTAAGCTGGGTTCTTACAACCAACCTCTTCTTCGGGTTTGATAGTTGACTAGAACAGCTTACAGAACTCAGGAAAAGAGTTTAGTTTACTCGTTTATTATATAGGATGTACCTTGGGAACAGCCCAAAAAGAGTGACACAGGATGAGGCATAGGGAAGGGCTGCAGTGTTTACTATTTGGAAAGGGTTTCTCCCCTCCATGCCTTTGCAGCCCGGAGACGGGCACTGGGCCCCAGGGGGAGGGAAGGGATAAGGACTCGGGTGGCAGGGGTGCTGGGACTCCCTGCCATATCTGCCCTCCATCCATAGGACTCAAAACGGGTGAAGGATGGGCTGATTCAGGGTCTGGGTGGGGGCTTCCTTCAAACCCCTGAAGGGATATGACAGGAGGGACACAAGGACTTCTGGGAGCTCCAGGGCCAACTGCAGTGTCAGTTGGCTCTGTCCCCTACCTAGTGCTCAGGGCTGTCTGTCCAGAGACTGCTGTACAGCAGGAGTTGTGCTGGGCTGTGGGTGACCATGGAGTCTCTGTCTGCTCCGGGCAGCAGCTACAAAACCTTGTCCGTATGTGGGGTGAGCCCAGGAATCAGGGAGGCCTTCCTGAAGGAAGTGACATCTAAGATGCCATCTGGAGAGAGGATAGCAATTGGATCTGGGCAGAGGATGTAGTAGGAGCAGGGGTGGTTGGCTGGGGGTCTGTAGGTTGTGGACCCCACTGTTCAGGGTCCTGGCACCCACTGAGCTCAGCCCAGATACTGTTACCATCCCTCCAAGCCTTATTGGCTACTTTCACCATCAGTGCCACCCTTTAGCCTGCCCTGACAGCCTGTGTTCATTGGACGACCCCAGCTTCCTCAGGGACCAGAGTTCCATGAAGGCAGGGACCACCTCAGCCCTGTCTTTACCAGCCAGGGATCTGTAGCTGGGTGCTGGGACCTGGATCCTGAGACCTGGGGATGGGGAAGGTCCCAGGAGGATCCTGACAGAGCTCCCCTCTCTGCCAGCGGTACCTGGTGCCTCAAGCCCGTGCCCTGTGCGGCCTGGATGAAAGCAAGGCCAAGCTGTCATCGGACGTGCTGACTGTCCTTATTAAGCAGTACTGCCGGGAGAGCGGAGTGCGCAACCTGCAGAAGCAGGTGGAGAAGGTGAGCCTAGAGGGTGTGATGTGACCGAAGGGAGCCAGACACAGGGCAGATGCTGTCTGACCCCACTTCTGTGAGGTCCCCAGCAGTCAGACTCACAGACATAAAAGAATGGTGGGTGCCAGGGGCTGGGGAGTTTTTGTTTGGGAAGCTGAGAACGTTCTGGAGATGGACGGTGGGGGTGGTTGCACAGCAGTGTGAAATGTACTTAATGCCACTGAGTTGCACTCTTAGAAATGGCTACAGTGGTACATTTTTTATGTGATGTGCATTTTACACAATTTAAAAATTAAAGCAAAAGGAGATGGATGTGGTGAGTGGGGACCGGCTGCCCATCATCCTGCCTCACCTGCCCCAGGTCTTAAGGAAGTCCGCCTACAAGATTGTCAGTGGTCAGGCTGAGTTGGTGGAGGTGACACCTGAGAACCTGCAGGACTTTGTGGGGAAGCCGGTGTTCACTGTGGAACGCATGTATGAAGTGACGCCACCTGGCGTGGTCATGGGGCTGGCCTGGACCGCCATGGGTGAGTGCTGCACGTCCTTCCGTTTGTCCTCTGGGACAAGTTTGTACTTTGTTGCTCTGAACCGCCCTCTGGCTGGCTGGTGGCGCACAATGAGACCAAGGGAATTGGGGCTGTTGGAGAGGTGGCCACAAGGTGGCAGGTGTACTCCATGAGCTTTATTTAGGCGATGCTTTGACAGGCTTGCATGTGGGACAGTCCTTCACAGCATGAGACCCTGGGACACCACCCAGCAGGGGGAGGGGTGAGAGGGAACTTCTGTGTCTAGGTGACATTGCTCCACTTGGGCTTCAGGGTCTTTTAGAGCCCAGGGGTTGCTCTGGCAGGGGTTGGGTGCAGTTTTTGGGGGTTTGTAAAGGAAGCAGGCTCTGGTTGACAAAAAGTTTGCTTATTTGGGTGATATTTAAAGCTCTTATGTAAGAATTTGTGCCTGGTGTTGGCAGCCTGTGTGAAGGTACACAGGGTAGGGCCAGTGCACAGTGGTTCCCTTAGGTGGCATGGGCGCTGACACGAGACAGAGGAGGTGCTAGGCTGAGGAGAGGTGGGTGAGGAAGTGTTGCAGACGGTGGCCCAGCATTGAGGGGGAGTGGCTACCCTGGGAATCTATCTCAGAGCTCACAGCCCCTACACACTGGTGTCTTCCAGGAGGCTCCACGCTGTTTGTCGAGACATCCCCAAGGCGGCCTCAGGAGAAGAACAGCAAGGACAAGGACGGGAGCCTGGAGGTGACAGGCCAGCTGGGGGAGGTGATGAAGGAGAGTGCCCGCATCGCCTACACTTTTGCCAGGGCCTTCCTGATGCGGCATGACCCCACCAATGAGTACCTGGT